TAACACGTATTAGGTTCACCCCGACTCCTGGGACCGAAATTGATAACAAACGCCCAACCTCTGTCTTTATGCCAGCTTTATAAGAATGAGGTAGAACCAGACACCCCTCCACATTGAGTGCCATCATCGCTGGTTCACAAGGGGGCCACTGCTTTTGACAAATCTCTTTGTTTCTCGATTCTCGGGCAAGTCGCCACCTCCAACTGGATGTCACCCCCCCCCCCCTTACATTGCGTGCCTCCTAACAAGGAAACAAATGACCAAAACCTGCGGAACCCCTCCTTTTGAGCCACACCCAAATGAACATACATTTACACGGGAGCCCTGATTGGATGTGGACCCACACATTGCGGCACAAAAGCAACAACAAAAATCTGTACTGCATCCCAGCCCCGAACACAGCTCAGATTCTGAACATTTGCTCAAGGTTCATCTGCCAGGGGCATTGGAGCGCCGTATTTGGTTCGGTGCTTATCCTTTCCCTCACTTCCAGAATAGTGGAGGACAAAGCCTCTCGTTCCTCTCCCTTGCCTGCCCAAACGACCCATACATTTGATCCGTGCTTCCCTGGCAAGACTTTGCGACTGACTTGTTTGAAGGGTCACTTGCAGGAAGGCTTGCCTATGACCTGAGCCGACCTTTGAATTTCCGTTTGTTGGTCTACTTTGTGTCATGGTTCCAAAACAATTTTAACGCTGAGAAGCGAAAGGACAAAGGAAACACCAGGCTGCAAAAGGTTGGGGACCCACAAATCACAACCAAAAAGGATCAAAGCGCAACCACGCATCCATCATCACCATTGATGATTGGAGGTGTAAATTTGAAACTTCCATTCTGCTTCTCTTCCACTTGCAATTGCCGGCCTCAGCGACATACTGCCACTCCCGCGTGATTGGCCGCTTGCCATAGTGTGAGCCTTACACACATGCAGCTGTCAAATTGCGCACACTTGGCGCACAGCAGGATCAATCATCTCCATTGGAAAATGCCGAAATTGGTGAAATGCTGAATCAAGATGAAGCGACAATAAATCTTTGTGCTAGCCACAAGTTGCAGTGCTTGATGGGTTTTGTTCCAATGACTCACCTAGGACTCTGAGTGCTAACATCCGTTCCTGAATCTGTGCAAAATCTGCCTTCTGAAAAGTGATGTCAAGCCCAGACATTTTGCTTTGGCAGTGCTTCTCGGCGAGAGAACCTGACTGCATTCCTAGCTAGCAATGTCGAGAATCCACAGGTTGACTGTGGCTTTGACAACTCTCAACTTTGCCAGTCGCACGGGACCACTGCCACCACGAGGCAAAGAGCACGAAACTGAGCCAAATGCAAGTTGAATTTTAAGGACCAACGATGACCAAACTGACTAAGTATTTGCCTCAAAGCGGCATCCTCCCGCACTGTAATGCAAAATGATAGAAAGTAACCCCTCTGACACTATACAAAGCGCATGCACCAAAGATGCAACTGTAAACAATCGGAGCTAGACTTTGAAGCCGACACTTGTGGTCACTTGAGATGTTGCCTTGGCTTGACCATCTTGCTGCGGACAGCCTTGGCCGCCAAACGTTTCCTTCGAGTTCTGTTCACAGCTTTCTGCGGCTTGAAGCAGTTGGGCCATTTCGCCCAGACCTGGGGGCCCAGTTGGAACTCCTCTTCTGTAAGCAGTGCCGCTTCCAGCTTTTTCCGCAAGCCGTCCTTGTCCAAATCTTGACCAATGAAAACCAGCTCCTGCCGCCGGTCTCCATGAACGGCATGCTTGTAACTCTCCAACTGGGGAGGCCACTCCTCCAAATCCACGGTGCCATGCAGCCAATCTGGCCCATCTTCGAGATTCAAGTTCTCACCTGCCTGGTGCCAAACCAAGCCGTATGCCAGACCAGCAATCCACAGCACACCTTTGGACCGAAGCACTCCATCTAGCCCCCGCTTCAGGAGCCGGTCGAGTCGCGTGGGGTGGAAAGGCTTCTGTGCTCGGAGGACCAGACTTGAGATGCCGTATTCCAAAGTCTCCGGCACATGATTTCCTTGCAGCTCCTGATACCAACCCGGCATTTCTTCGGCCTCGGCCATGTCAAAGCTCCCGGTGTTCAGCAAGAGTTTGAGATCCACTTTGCCAAAGCTGGAGCGAATGATTTTGGCCTTGGGGTTCGATTTCCTCAAGAAACCTTCCAGCTTTAAGGCATCAGACTCCTTGATGAGATCCATCTTGTTGAGCACAATCAGATTGGCGCACTCCACTTGGTCTGCCAGCAGGTTTGATATCTTGCGCTCGTCCGTCGCCTCCGCTCCCAAGGCGGGCCGATCTCGAAGCTTCTCGGCGCCACGGTTGTAGTCCTTGAAGAAGTTGGCTGCATCCACCATGGTGACGAGCGTGTCCAGGCGGGCCACACTGCCCAGCAGATTCTGGCCGTCATGCTCCGTGACAAATGTGGTGGCCACAGGCATGGGCTCTGAAATCCCAGTGCTCTCGATGAGAAGGTAATCAAAACGTTTCGCTGCGGCCAATTGGGTGACATTGTCAATGAGGTCTTGACGCAAGGTGCAACAAATGCAGCCGTTCTGCATCTCCACCATCTTGTCCTCGCCGGTCAACACTTTGGAATCCTTCACCAGCAACCCATCGATATTCACCTCTGCCATGTCATTGACGATTACAGCCACGCGAAGTCCTTCTTGGTTCTGAAGTACGTGCGTCAACAATGTTGTCTTCCCCGCGCCCAAAAAGCCACTGAGAACTGTGACGGGCAACAGTCCATCTGCTGGTGCCTCAGGAATTTCTGCCATGTCTTCATCTTCTCCAAAATCCATATTCACGAATTCCTGCAGATCATCTGCAGGGATATGGTCCAAGGTGATGAGAAGTCGACATGGATCCTTGCTTTCACCTGCAGAATATGGCGCTCTATGCAGGCAAGGGAATTTCGTGAGCCTGCCACCCTTCATGATGGCGACATCACCTGCCTGCGTCTCAAGGTGTCCTTTGCAAACCCGCTGATTCCAAGTCTGTATCATGCTTTGGGCGACCTCGGCGCTTGCATCCGGAATTTCAGCCAGCTCAGGTATGATCCCTTCACAAGCCTCGTAGTAGGCCCAATCCACATTGGCATTGTCTGAGAGCACCGTCCCGTCACCAGCAAGGGTCAGGGCAAAACGAAGCTCCACTGAATCATCATGGTACTTGGTACATGCCCCATTTTGATTGATCTCAATCTTGATCTTCCAGCGCAAGTCCTCATTTACTGAACAGGATTGGTGCAGCTCCATCAACTCCTGAAATATCTCGAACAGAGCCGTGACAGCAGACGAACTTCCTTTGGCGATCTCCGTATGCCCTTCCAACACACCCTCCTCTACTAGCGCCTGTCCACACTCCTTGAAGTCTGCTTGCAACTGCCGGTGAAGTTGCTGGGTGAATGACTCCCCAGGCTTTGCCAAGTGGCCCTCGTAGTAGCAAAGCTGATCTTTCACATGTTCACCGAAAGCACAGAAGCTCTGAGCCCATGAAAGCAGGTCGCCACTGTTCACAAAGCCTTTCAGCACTCCTCCATTTCTATCCGATTCGGACCTGATCTTTGAGACCAGGCTTTTGGCATGGTCTGATCCAGCTACTTCAACGGGCTTCATCCCTGCGGAAGAAACCTGACGCACGAGCGGGCTTCTGGCCACTGCGACTTGAGCCAAAACTGAAATGCTGTTGACCTTCCAGGATTGCCCATCCACAACGCATTGGGGTAACAGGGGAATTCAAGGCTGATCTATCGGTCGCTTGCAATCCACTGAGCCCACGACGTCTTGCATGAAGTTGGACTCCTGGTCATGAAGCGGCCTTTGCCATAGGGGCGACCCATGATATCCTCAGCAGAAGCATTTGGCTGTGGGTCAAAACCAATGGTACCATTTTGGGGTAGGTGCACCACTCATTTTGCTCTGTTCACTGGGGGTAAGGGATTTTGAATTTTGACCCATGGCCATTTCACAACGCCCTCCCTTGCACGAAGCTGTCTGAGGAAGCATCTGCATCCGCCCCTCAACAAGGCTGCCGCAGAGCCTCTGGGATTATGTCCAGTCTAGGCCAAAAAACACGGCGACTGGCCAACCCCCAGCAGAAACGGTATGGACACAATTCCAAGAATCTACTTAGCGATGGAGGTGTGTCCTAGTCCTGGTCTGAGCTTGGTTGGTCGTCAGGTTGGGCGCTTTTGTTGCAGGGCTAGCTGGGTATGATGCTTCCCTAATAACTACGTTACTCCAATACTGCTTGTCAATCCCCTGCAAAACTGGCACAGCTCATTGACACCTTGCATGCCAGCAGGCCTCCCAGGCAGGGGTTCCTCTCAATCTGAGCGCATATACCAACAGAATAGACCCAGCGGCCATCAAAAAGCGGCCATCTCACCGACGATGTCCTGCCCAAAAGCAATCCCGCCCGCTGACAAGAACATGTGCTTCCTCAGTCGGGAGTGGCACGTCAAAGGGAAAAAGGCCGTGGTGGAGAGGGCGGCCCTTCAAGCAAGCAAGGTCCCCGCACATCGTCCTCGTCAGTTCCTGCTTTGCAAAGCTGGCAACCACACCAGAAAGGACACTAGCAGTTGCGAAAGCGGAGTTGGGCTGGGAGACTTGAGCTGAGGCAAGGGAGTGGCAAGGACGTCCAGCGCCTGGACTGCAAGGAAGGCGAACTATCCACCCAAGACGCCCAAGACAGCAAGGCCATTTAGCGGCGGTTTTCGGTTCAGCGCTCACTGAAGCCCGCTCGAATCGGCGGACGGCCACAAAAGAGTCCAGGTGGCCTTCTGGAGGCCCGCGCGGCAATGCTTAGCACTCGACGGGTCGGGATGGAAGGCATTTCGGGCGTTGGAGGCATTCATTTTGTTGAAAATCAATTGTATTGCAGTGACTGGACCGTGTCCGAGCGCGTGGGCCGGGAATGCGCCGAGCACGCCGTGCCGGACGGGCAGCGCTGGGCACGGCGGGTGTGCAAGGGCATTGAAATATATGCTTGGTTCAGCTCAGTTGGACCGGCGCCTGCAAGCAAGTGGCGGGCATTTGGAGGCTGGCCCGGGCGAACCACCAGGCTGCGATCGGTGCGACCCCAACACCCAACCAACGGAGAGCGACCAGCCCACATCGAGCGCCAGCTCGGCCAGCCGTCCAGCAACGCAACAGGCGCAGCTTCGCGCTGGGAGCTGGCAGAAACACGCGTGCGCCGCGCGGGAACAATGCCACGTTTTCGCATATGCGGGGGTGCGCGAGAACGGCAACAGCACTGGCGGGCTGCCAAGCGACCAAAAAACTTAGCCCTCTACGGACATGCACGGTGAAGCCGCCAGTCAGCTGGATGTTTTTCCCCCTTCGGCCACGAGACGTATATATACAGCTTGAATTAGTGCTGGCGCTTTCTCCAGCAGCTTTCCGGCCTCTCACCCTATGCCTCAACAGGTGACACGGGAGCACCGCAACATGTGAGTCCATGCGACTGTCATCAACATGACTCAGCTTTCCACGGAGGATGATGTGACTGCCACTCTGCGAGTCAATAATGCCGCTCATCTGCCCGACTTCAAGTTTGAAAGATGCTTCCTGGCTGCGATGCTCCCCACCCTCACATGTACGATGCCTTCTTGACGGCTAAGGTCAAAGAGTAGTCTGTCCTCAAATTCTTTCTGCATCTCACCGGGCCCAAAGTGTCCCAAGTCGCCTCCCTGGCACAAGAGAGCCCATGCTTCAAACGTGCGCAAAACAGGACGGTTGAAGAGCCAGCAACAATCCAGCGCTTGGCACCCTGCCTGGGCGTAAGAACCGCAGTCGCTGCGGGCTTGCGCCTCTTTGGCAAAAGCATCGACCAAGTCCTGGCGAGTCTCAGGGCCATCGTAAGTCGGGGAGTTCATGAGGCACTCCAGGCCCGGCTTTGGAATGCGTCCTGCCCCGATTTGCCGTTCAGCTTCTCCATGATTGCCTTGAGCTCGGCATGTGCTGATTCCACCGAGACCTCGCGCGTCTAAGCTGTCAAAGGTCTCAAATTGGCCAACAAACATGGAGGAGAGCGGGGTAGGGCGTGGCCCTCCCGCTCTCCTTCAAATAAAATGCTTCTGGTGATCAAATGTTTATCGCAGAGTGGACGACCAAACCATAATGCCTAATGAGGCCGCGTCCTTTGACAGTGGCACATGCATGTGGACAGCCAAGAGCCAAGCACTCGCAGTGGATTCACCAGTGCGTCTGGAGACCGGATTGCGGGAGTTGCAGTTCTTGCACCTGGCCAAGGACGGTCACTGAGTCACTGCTTCTCAGCCAGGTGGGAAAGACCGAAGCAAAACCGCCTCACCAAGACTCTGTATCTCACGACTGCCAAGTCTCATCTTCTGAAGCAAGGCAGAGGCGCAGCAAGTGTAAGACTCGCACTTTTCCCTCAGGACAACAGCATTCCGAAGTTCAACAGCACCCATCTTGGTGATTTATTTGCTTACTTCGGTTGCCAACCCGCATCGAGGGCTGCGCTGACATGGTGACAAGAGAGGCTCAAGAGCTGGGAGCCGCAAGGCTGCATGCCCAGGTCTCGCATGCCAACGGCGTAACGGCAATCGCTTCCTTTCTCAGGTTGCGCCCCAAAGCTGGCCTGTCGTCCCAAATGCATGAGCCAGCTATCAGAATCTATATCCGCCACTCCACGGGCCATTCCAATGTTCAACATCAGAGTGCTCCCTAAGTCACTCAGTAGCCTCCCCCGCAGCATGGCAGATACATGCCGATTCCTGAATGATCTACTTCTGACACTGGTGAAACTAGCTGTGCGCAAGCTGACTGCTGCTGTACTCAAAGGCCCACAATTAATCCGATCATTACATTGCGGGCCCGATAGGCAGTCAAGGACCCATTCATTGCAATTGAACTGTTCAATTCCAGCAAAACTCGGTCATCAGCATGGATTGCCCATGCGGGAAGTTAGCTTGCACCTCTCCGTCGGACATGGTCGCAAGGTAGCCTTCGGTGTGCCCCGAGAGCGCAGCCACAGGCTCCACGCCTCGGAAGAACACGCCGCTGGGATGCCACAGGTCCCTCCTCTGCTCCCCGGAGGCGGGCACCTCGATCTCGTAGCCAAGGATCTCAAACATGGCGGACTGGAATGTGGCGAGCCCGGGAACCAACCCAGCCGAGGAGGTGCCCCCCACGCGGGACAAGTCCGCACAAACCACCACCCTTGAAGCCTGCAGGAGGTCATAGAAGCAATGGCTGCCACAGCACGGACTGCACTCTGCACAGTGCTTCAAGGTTGGACGGAGGCACACCACGCGCATGGACTGCCCTGCATGTGACAAATCTACAGCCACAGCGGAACCACATTCCTTGCTGCCGACAAGTGTCCAAACACGCCGGTCCCATATGATCGTGTTTGCCTCACCATCGGCACCCTTGGCACAACACTGTCCGTATCCCTTTCCCACGATGCTGGCTGCCAGCTCGCTTTGTGTTGCATCGAGGCCTTGAATGCAGGCAATCCCACTTCGCTTGAACCTGAGGAGGCGGTCCAGCGTGAACCGGTGGTGTCTGATGCAGGCGGGAGACAGGGAGAGGGAGGCCACTGATTTGGACTCGGTCTCGGACTTCCGACGCACAAGCCGCCGGAGCTCCGGCGGCGCCTTGAAGCGCCATGCCCCGGTGTCGTTCGGCTCCCAGCCCAGGAAGGTGGTGTGCGCCGGAAGCATGGCCAAGGCCTCCGGCGGAAGGCGCTGCAAGAGTGCGGCCAAACGGGTGTCCAGCTGCATGAGATCTGCTTGGCTGAAAAGGAGGCTCTCCAGGTCTTTCTGGCTCCAAGGGCCTGTCCCTGGGATCTGCAGGCGGCGCTCAATGACCTCCAAGATGTGTGATGTCTGCAACATGGCAGGCTGCAGCAGAAAGTCGAGCAGGCAGCGAGCCAAGTTCAGCGTGCGGGCTACACTGGCCTCGCTTTCCGAGACTTTTGGAGAGGGTTGGTCAGATGGCGAGAGCGGCCACGCAGGCAAGGTGGCGGCATCCGTGGACATCTCCCAGGCATTCTCTGCAGGCGGCAGGTCAAGCCAATCCAGCACTGGGGTGTCCTCGACTCCAGGCACTGGCAGAATCGGTGGAATCCATAGCTTGCTGGGGTACATGGCAAGGATGTCTTGGATCGACGCGAAGAATTCAAAGCCCGATCCAGGAAGTCCCGGAACGAACTCTGAGGCATCTGCGTTGAGCTTCTGCTCCTTCCCTTTTATGAGGCCGGTCGTGTCTTTCACACGGATCCGGGACTTTTCAGGAGTGTCAGCGCAAACAAGCCGTCCTGGACGCGGAGTATGCACCTCATCCTCCTGAATGCAGGCAACATGCTGCTCACCAAAGTGCACAGCCAGCCCCACCTCATGGTTTCCTCGGACCCCGTTGAGTTTGCCGGCCTTGGTTCAGCATGCTCAGCAATTCAAACTTGCCGCGCGCAGGGCTGGTATGGCTCTGAGGCAGCTGCTTGGCATGCAACCTGCAGGTTGACGGCTCGTGGCAGCTCGGCGGGCCTTGCCTGCCACATCAAAGTATTCCAAACACCCAAACATGGGCGATGTCCTTGCGGTTTCCCTTGCTGAGTCCGGTGGGAATGCTGGGGTGCCATGTCGAATATTCTGCCTTCCCGCAAACTGCCTCGAGGCGGTCGGGGCGTGCTGCCAGGAGGTGGCGCCTATCGAGCACCAGGACCTCAAGAAACCCAAGTCCAAAGTCATCTGAATCAGCACACCCGCAGCCAAGTCACGGCCATTGCGGCAGGTGTGATACGGTGTCTTGCAGTAAGAAGCCGCTCCAGAAAAAAAATACTCAATTCAGACGCGCAATGATACAATGATACGCGACACATGCTCGGTGAACACTGGAAGGCTTGCCAGTTTGCAGTATGTGATATTGAACGGCTGATTCTCTATCTGACAGATCCAAAGAGGCAGTCGTCAAACAATCCCATGCTGCATCCCAAAGCGCTCGCTTGCAACGCAATTGCGCACATTTTTCCACGCTGTCTGGCGCACTCGTGCTAGTCCAGCAGGAAATTGTTTCTTCTTCTTCGCCTGGCCAGGCCCAATTCGCGTAGCCAATTCGAGGCCTTGGCCCGAGGCTGCCTGCAGCATGCTCGAAGATCCAACCGCCATCGCACTTCGCTATTCTGCCTGCAGAACAGCATGGCGGAACTGGATTCTCTTGCATGGCATCAAAGGCCTGACTAAGGGCAGTGGAAGATCAGAGACTGGAGATAGAAGACCACGCCTATCCTGGCAGACAACCTACACCAAAGACCTGCAGCCTCGATGCCCACAGCTGACCGATCAGAATCTTCTCAACACGAGTCGCTGACTTTGGCTTTAAGCGCCAGATGGCACCAAAGTGGGAATGTCATTGCAGAACAGCTCCTCTGTGTCCTCCAGTTCAGACCTCGCCGTATCAGGCAAGAAAATAGGACAAGCCAGACACGGCTTAGGATAGCACAGCGCAGAGCAGAAGGAGTCACAAGACGGGGAGCGCTTGATCTGTGCAGGACTCAATGTGGCCATGGGTCAAAACCCCGTACCCCCAGTGAACATCCCAATCCCCACTAAAATAGACTAAACCGGGTGGTGCACCTATCCCGAAATGGTACCGATGGTTTTCAACCATGGCCATGTAGATTGAAGTGCTGCTACTGCATAGCATGTCATCGGGCTGGCCAGCGGGTTCTCGCAGTCTACGGGCGAGGGGACCAAGCTGCTTGTCTCCTGCGCACCAGTGAGGTCTGACAAGTACGTTCTGCCTCCACCTCTGACCGATTCTCCACGGGCCAAGCCCTGCCTCGCCCATCGCGAAGCTCGACCACAATGCCTCTGGCATGACGCGGACATCCATGACGTAAGCCTCAGCATGTGGGTGCACAATCAAACAACCCTACATGGGAGAACAGGCATACCGCGGCCAGTAGGAAGACTTGATACAAAACCGACAGTATGCATTCAAAGGGCTCAAGGCATCAATGACAAACAGTGGTGGTTGTTTGAGACGGCTCTGCATCACTGACAATCCAGAAACAAGCAACACGATGCCTTTAAACAGCCTGCCTTGTGCGCCTGATGATGCTCTGCTTCAGCATCTTGACCGCACAGCTCGTAGATCACCTCAACGTATCGCAAAAGCGCGAACTGTGTGACTTGACTTCGCCCAAAGTGTTCACTCGTGCCATAAGCACGGGGCCGCGTGCACCGGCTGTTTACCCACAAAAGGCTCAAGCGATAAGCTCCGGCCCCACCTCGGCAGCCGTCAAGCGCACAGGTGCACTTCTGGGCGGTGCCAGCCACCAGGAAACAGATATGAGTCAACAGAAGTCAGGAAAATGATACACCGATTCAGCCCAGTGGGTCGTCAAGGAAGCTTCAAGCAGAGCAGCAGTGTTTACTGCAAGGGAAAGCCGGTCACTCGGGGCATTCTGGGAGTCTCGCATCAGTGGCAATTTCCGGAAGACCCAGGCGCGCAAGTCCAGGAGCTGCGCTGGCCTCGCGCATTGCGCGACCACTTCAGGAGGCAAGCTCTGGCCCTGGAAATCTGAGTCCGAGGCCCCCAAATCGCAAAGGTGAAAATTGGCCCGCCAGACACCTTACGCTCAAGCAAAACGTTGCGTGACGCCCTCGCGCAATTTACGAAACAATGCTCACCTTGCTGGAAACTTTGGCAGGGGCATTTATCAGTATGTCCCCGAGTTGTTCAGCAAGCTTGAATATGTGTATATGTGTATATGTGTATATATATATATATATATTTGGGTATAGTATCGTTAAGAGCTGCTTGGGGCTCCACCATACGCTTTCGGGGGGGGTGGGTGGGGGGCGGGGGGGCGGTGTTTGCGTTCGTTTCCCGAGGCAAACAGGCTGCTGCCCCAGGGGTGGGGGGGGGGGGGTGGGGGGGGATGTTTGCGTTCGTTTCCCAAGCAAATGGTGAGCACACCCGCTCAAGAGCGCCCGCTCAGCACTGTATTCATGCCAGCCAAATGGTAAGCACACCCGCTCAAGTGCATCCGCTCAGCACTGTATCCATGCCTGAGAATCGTAAGCACGCCCGCTCAAGTGCACCCGCTCAGCACTGTATCCATGCCTGGGAATAGTAAGCACACCAGCTCAAGAGCAGCCTCTCAGCACTGTATCCATCCCGCTCAGCACTGTATTCATGCCGGCCAAATGGTAAGATGGGAGGTTCCAACGTGGAGTTCGTACTGCGTTCACCTCTTAACGATACTATACCGAGATATATATATATATATATACACGTGCCTCTTGTCAGCACTTGTCGTAACTTGCCTTTCCATCTTCCTCCATCCCTTGCTGAGCCTGAGCTCGGCGCCTCAAAGGAAGGGCCGCCTCCGTTCCAAACTTCCTGCCAACTGGTAATTCGCCGTGGATTTGCCCAAAGATGGCAAACGACGCAAAAGCACGCTTTGCAGCCAGGCCACATCCCAGAAGTGTCTGGCAGCCTGGCGGGCAGAAACGTCAGCGCCACCTCCACTGTGGAAGCCAAGGCCTTGCGGCTGTAGCCAGCTGGTAAGCTAATGTCAGCGATGTTCGGAGCGGCGCTTGGATCCTGCCGCGAAAAGCATCTGCTAGCTCCTTGCCGACCCTGGCAGTCAGACTCCAATTACAATTAGTTTCTTGCGGATGCCATCCGTTTGTTTGCTTGTTCTTGGGCGTCTGTCCAACAGCCCCTCAACCCGGAAGCTGGCTAGCGCGCACAATCCTCGTGTATCAGCGTGTTGTCGGCAGCCCATATTGGTGCCACCACCGTGGGCCTCAAGGCCGCATGGCTAGGGCTAGGCCTTTTAGCCGCCTTGGCGCCCCGCCGAAACGAAGGATCATTCTCCTTCCCGATCTCATGCCCTCCAAAAATCCGACTTTTCGTGTATGCGTGTTGATATGTGCCATGGCGTCTGAATCTTTTGGCTTTTGCTCACAGGAAATTGTCACGGGCGGTGATGAAACAGACTGAGATCAAGGCGGATCTGTTTGCACTGCAAAGCGCCCTGACACGGGACAATGCGGAGCCCGTAAAGTCAAGTTGTGTTGTCGGCAAGCCGAATCCAGTGCCTGAACGAGCGGAATGATGCCTCGCATCAGAGTACCTCAGATGAGATATGTCATCTCGGGGATTGGCAATTTGGTGTATTTACAGCTTCCTCCATAAAGGTGTGGGTCAAAACAAAACCCCCAGGGACCGCAGATTTGAGTTTTTGACCCACAGTCATATCTACGATCCTTGTGAGCTGAATTGAAATGCTTAGTATTTGCCACGGCCGAGCCACGTGTGGTGAAGTTCACCGGTACATACCTCGGTTCAAAATTACCTATTGCGTGGAGGATTGTGAGAAATGCCAGTCCACCCCCTCTCCCACCAGCAGAATGTTTGAAGGCCCATTCGTACATCAAATCCCAGGCACATGTTCCGCCATCATTCCCAACATTTGTCCTTCCAAAGGTTACAACTGCCCTTTGTCGAGCCGATGCAAAGCGCATTGCACAATATGCCCATCCGGCCCTAGGAGAAAATTTACGTGCTCCCCAAGAAAACAATCTGGCTGTTGTGGGAACTTGGGTAGGCCCACCTGTCCTCCCAAACCAACAGTAGACTACCAAGTACCAAAAAATATGTTTGTCGCCTCATATGGGGCGAACAAAACTGTTCTCTCCATTGTCAAGTGGCCACGGGTCAAAAGCCCGTACCCCCAGTGAACATCCCAATCCCCACTAAAATAGACCAACATGGGTAGTGCACCTACCCCAAAATAATACCCTTGATTTTGACCCACAGCCAAGTGGCCTCTCCAGCTCCACGCCGCAATACAACACGCCAGGCCTCAGTACAATCAAATCCCGCGCTCACGGCCAACAGCAGCTGGGCCTTCGCTTGAAGCGGCCCTGTATTCGCCACTCCCATAGCCGCTTGCGACCATGGAAATGCTCCTTGTACGGGTAGTGCGCCTTGCGTGCGTACAGCCAGCGGCATGACTGAGTCATGCATGACAAGGACAAGCGCCGCTCGCTTGCCTGTGCCAGATCTTGTGGCTCGGCATCATCGTAGCTCCACGCCGGCCTGGCTCAAGGAAAGCCCTGCGCCAACTTTTGGCACTGCTGGAAACCCACAAGACTGCAAACCTCCGGCCTGTGCAACAGCATGCACCTGCAAAGCTGCCCAGTCGGAACACTGTGGAGCTCTCCTGGTAAACAAAATTGCCGGAGCCTGCCGATGAAGTTGTCGCACTCGAATTCCGTGGGAACTGAGTTGAGCTGCATCGGCTGGTAGCTGCTCGAGGCACCTTGGAAGGTTACGCTCAACAGCTGCAGCTCTCGCTGAGACAGGCGCTGAGTGAGGCACTTCGCACGTGCAGAACCACATCCTCTCTGCCTGCAAAGGAAGGATGCAAACATCTCGCGCTTGTGACATGCTTGAAAATTTCCAGGGCGGATGTTAATGCCGAATGACCGGCGTCGTATGGCTCGTGCCGATTTCTTCTTCCCACCTTCGTCCATCGCTCAAACACTTCCTGGCTGCAGAAGTCACATGCTGCCGGCTGGGCATGCCCATGGCTCTCGGCGCATGTCGAGTCTTCCGTAGATTGGTGTCGGGTGCTGGGTGTCAGCTGTGAGTTGGCTCAATCAACTCAGTGCGATGCAGGGATGCCCGCTTGGCAGAGTGCATTCAAGCAGAATGCGGCCAATTCCAAATCAGCGTGCACATGCTGCCAATGCTGCTGCCCACGTTGTGAGACACAGTTGCAGTTCAAGCGCTGTCAAGTGGAAAACAGACATGTAGGTTGGAATCTTGAGCATGCAACGGCACAGTCAGCTAGAGCATGTGCAGCTTGAAGCACTGCTTTGCAACTTGCCCCTTTCTAGAGACGTGTGGCCATGAATTTCAATACGGAACCACCTCCAAAGTGGTTGGTGGACATGAATCCCCACCTAAATGGTGTCCACCAAAGGGTCCCCTAGTAAAATTCATATCCATGTGGCATCTGCTACACCCTGCCGCACTGCCAGAACCACGAGAAGCCGAGCAGCTCTCCTTTTCGCCCTTCAGGCGTCGAAACAATTCGTCGGACATTGCTGGCAGCAGCTTTTCCCTGAGGAGGTCGTCCCTCAAAAGAAGCTCGCGCAAGCTGTCCTCAGCACTAGCAGGTGGCCATCCAGGTTGTTGCACAATCCCGAGACCCGGGGGCTTTATAAGCATTGAAAGAGAAATGAGGGAGTGTCCAAACGGCATGTGTTCGGTGGTTATTTGTTTCCCACTTCCAAATAGTCATGTCAATTCGGAGCGTCTGGTCATCTTGAGATAAAATTGAAACGGAGCTTGAGAAACGCCTAAGCTTTCGAGATAAGATCTTGCGCCGAGCGTCATGCGACCATCGAAGCGTCTGCACTCCCTCAGGGTGGCTTGATTCCTTTTTTTTGCAGCGATATCAGAACAAGATGTAGTAAGGAAGTCTACTCCAACGCAACGTGGAACCTGACAGGGACCTCCTTCAAGTTTCTCTCTAAGAAGCCAAAAACCGCCGAGGTCTAACTGGTTTGACGCATTCCAACTTAGTAGCTGCTAAAGAACAGGATGCGGCCAACCATCTGCTTCACGTCATCGCTAAGGTTGCAAAACCTCCTCCTGTTTGATTTACCGAGGCAGCTTTCAGCCGTGCACCTCCTCCTCTGATCTCACTGTCGCGGTCGCCCTACCTTGTTCTGCAAAGCCCAAGAATGTGGCCTTGCGCGGGGGGGTTAAATGTCAATGCACAATTCGGTTGACGCACATACGACCAAAACGAAATATCACAGGTCTAGGCAGTGAACCTGTTTGCACACGTGATGTATTTCTGCTGTCAGAAATGATGATTTCACCTCCCCCAACAAAAACAATAAGATGCGTTAGGAATGTTTTCAAGCGACGACTGCCCAACGTTACTGTACTCTCCGTGGCCAAAACAATTGTTGTTGATTGCGGACAGCACAATTGACGAGCATAGTGAAGCTTCTCAGGGTTTCCCACCCCGACCGCTCAAATTTTGCTGCTTTGCAAGAGGTCAAACAAGTGTTCGCCTCCCGGCAGTGTTGTTGGTAGCTACAAAGTTCTCACATCGGCCGTCTGTACGTGCGTTGCATCATTCTGAAGACACCAAGATCATACAGGAGGTGAGAACAAAGACTATGCAATACATACACAAGTATCCCTGCCTCCCCAATCAGAGCGCCGTCAGATAATTGAGCCACCAGTTGAGAATCGACAGTGACTGTCAGGGTCCCAAAGAGAACAAGCCACAGGTACTTGTTCTCTTCCCCCTGTTTGGTGAGGCAGCTGTTCTGGGTGTAGGATACACTTTCCGCCGCCTTGAGAAAGCGTGGCACCTCCGCTGTACCCAGTTGAGGAAAAGTTCTGCGCAGCTGCGTTAGAAGTCGCAAGGATTCTTCTGGTGATCTCCGGCCAGCACCGCGGCCACGCACCATCTTCTCGATGAGCTCCTCTGAGATGGCCGACAGCAGCCTCTCGCCGAGGCTGTTTTCCACCGCGCAAAACTCGCGCAGGCGCTGCTGCGACCAGCGCAGGGTTCGGGCGCCGTTGGGCGCCGCATACACGGTCGCAGTTGCAAGCTTGTCGCGGGGATCCAGGAAGGTGACCTCTCCAATTATGGCCTTGCGCTCCAGAGTCGATGCCACCTGCCCGCTCACATCCACCAACAGCTTGCCAGAGATCACAAGCCACAGGTAGTCGTTCACAGTGCCTTGCTCAGTCAGCGCCGCTTTGGGCGGATAGAAAACCTCCTCGGCCTCCTTCGGGTCATGTCATGCAGCCTTTTACAAACATTCAAACTTGCATTGGATTGGCGAAAACACGCGGAGCACCACAGCTGTCGCTACGATTGCAACAGCAGCAACAGCACTGGAAACGGCAACGAAGCAACAGAAGAAGTATCGCCACAGCAACAGAAAGCAGCAACACAAGCAGCAAGAGCAACAAACAGAAAGCAAACAATGCGGCAGAACAATTACAATTGAAAAATGGAATCGGTACAGCACATAGAACAAGAACGGCAACCAGGACAGGAGCACCTGGTAGCCAGAACAAGAGACGAATGTGTGTCTTCAAAATAGCATAACGAAGTCAGAGCCAAACCAATGACAGGCATAGCAACAAGAACAGCAATTACATTAGCATAGACCCCAGATGTCCAAAAACATGCCAACACCTCTAACAGCACCTGGCGAAGAGCGCCCCAAACAGCACCCGGCCGTCAATCTCGCAATAAAATGCCCCCCCCACAAGCACCTCAAACAGCACCTCAAACAGCACCTCAAACAGCACCTCAAACAGCACCTCAAACAGCACCTCAAACAGCACCTCAAACAGCACCCCAAACCCTACACCAGCACCCCAAACTGCACACCCCCTAGCACCAACCCATCACTCTTGCAAATCACGTTCCCCTCTTTATTAGAAGATAGAACCCCAATAGTTTTCAGCTGTCTGTGGAAACAAGGTCAAAAACATCACAAGAACACCATGAAAAGAAGAACAACAAGAAGAAGTAGAAGAACAAAACGACGAGGACGATCACGATGGCGAACACTGCGGCTAATACTCCTACTACTAGTAGGAGTAGTAGCAGCAGCAGTCGTAGTAGTAGCAGCAGCAGTAGCAGGAGTAGAGCTAGTAGTCGTCGTAGTGGCAGCAGCAGCAGAAGCAACAGTTGTGTTGTTGTCGTTGTCGCAGCAGTAACTACTACTAGAGCTCATACTGAAACTACTACTAGAACTGCTCCTAAAACTGCTACTGCTACTGCTACTGCTACTGCTACTGCTACTGCTACTGCTACTGCTACTGCTACTGCTACTGCTACTGCTACTGCTACTGCTACTGCTACTGCTACTGCTACTGCTACTGCTACTGCTACTGCTACTGCTACTGCTACTGCTACTGCTACTACAACAACAACAACAACAACAACAACAACAACAACGACAACTACTGCTGCTGCTGCTGCTACTACTACAGCCACTACTGCTACTACTACTACTACTACTACTACTACTACTACTACTACAGCCACTACTACTACTACTACTACTACTACTACTACTACTACTACTACTACTACTACTACTACTACAGCCACTACTACTACTACTACTACTACTACTACTACTACTACTACGACTACTACTACTACTACTACTACTACTACTACTACTACCACTACCAGTACCACTACCACTACCACTACCACTACCACTCCCACTACCACTGCCACTGCCACTACCACTACCACTACCACTACCACTGCGACAACTACTGCTACTGCTACTGCTACTACTTCTCCTACTACCACCACAGCGACCAAACGCCGGCAACATCGGCAAATCAACGACAAGATGTGACGCGTGCCGAACTGTCCTTCAGCAACTTGGAGAGTTCCTGCTTGGGCAGAGAAGGGAAGGTGTTTCGCAGCTCCCCCAGCAGCCAGCTGTCCTGAAGCGACAGCGGCTCCTGAAGGGCGAAGCTCTTTCGCAGCCACACAGCCGCCGACTGGGCGGCGAAGAGGAACAGGGACCCACAAATCGCTGGCACCACAATCACCTAAGGCTGGACTTAGAGTAGGGAGACCAAGAACTGCCCTGAGAGGGCCATGAGCTGAAGAGGTACGCCAAACACTTTGCAAAATCTGACAGTCGCCGGCGAAAGTGCGGTTTCTGGGTTTGCACTGAAAATCGCCTGGAAAAGAACCCACAAGTTGACAAAGTTCTAAATGAAAGAACCACATTTTAAATCATAACTCAATGTGTTTGGCGCTGACATCTCTCCCGCCTGCACGCCTTCCAGCACCCACTGCAAGTCACGGACTTCCGGCAGATGCAGCAAGGACTCGTCCACCGCCAGTGTGGCAAAGGCCCCCGCGGGCGCGAAGAGGCTCCTTGTGGCGCGCATCCACAGCAGGGACCCGCTGGCCGCGGCGGCGCGGGTCAGCGAGGGGTCCTCGCCCCCCAGGGTGTAGAGCGCAAGGAGCGCCTGAGGCGATTTTTTTTAATTTGGGGGTGGAAGGGAGGTGAAAGAAGGGTCTTGCGCCCTCCGCAACGGTGGGACGGCGAACCGCGAATCTCAAGGATTGCTTCCTGGGAATCCTTTGGGCAGCTTCAAAGATAGGCGGCGCGCATCCACGGTTTGTCGCGCAAAATTCGTGCGCTGGAGCCTTCAGACTTCAGCCAAGCGACGCACAAGGCACAGCCAAAGCACGCGACCAGCACCGTTCTGACGGCTTCCGTGTCTCCTGCCAGACAAACAACAAGCAGGTTGTGTCAAATGAGCAAAATCAAAATCTGGCACTACAGTCACTAAAGGGTCTACCCAAACCATGTAGGGAAGCAAGAGCGCGGCCGCACTCAAGTGACTGTTCCTTGCTAAGATCTTCACCTATCCGGGCTCTTGTGACTCTTGGCTGACCTTGGGGTGTGTCAGATTCGCAGATCTCTCTCCTAAGGCACCTCGGCGTCCCTGCAGGCCAGGCCCAAAGAGTAGCACCACGACTGAGCCTGGCAGGGCCTTGTGCCTTGTGATCTGGCCATCCGAAAATCCGAATGACTAGCTACAAAACCTGGGCTGTCCTCAGATCCCCTGCTGAACGTTTCACTTTTAGTGGGTTGTATAAACGGACACACCCAGTAAACCCCAAAAGTCTAAAAGCCTAGGGGCACAACTGGGAACCGCCCACAAAAAGAATCCGCGGCTTCGTTGCGGAAGCGCCTAGCGGAGGTGCCCACAGCGTGAGTTTGGCGCCCAAGCCCCCGAAGGAAGCCACGGCATCCAGGTGGCCTTGGCAGCTCGCACAAACGAGACATCGCCTCCGATCCGCCGAGATGCCCAAGACGTAGACGGCCAACGCCACGCCCAGAGCACCTCAAATGCGGCTCTGTTTTGTTTGCTCAAGGAAGTGTGTCTTGTTTTATCCCGCAGTAACCGGCATCAGACCATTCTAATTCTGTCGCAACTTCCAACTGGCTTGCTTCTACCCAATACCCCCGCATCAATGCGAGCACTTGGAGTCGATATCGCTCTGGGCTCTGAGGAAAGGGCTCGTCACCAGCTCGTAGCTTTCTGGCACAGGCGCCTCAACCGTGAGCTCTTGAAAGGGCAAGTAGTTGCGGCCTCAGTTGGGCCGGTTTGCAACTCCCAGGCTTACAAAGAAAAAGCCAACGCAAGGCGGCGCAAGGCGCAAGGCGCAGAGCGCAAGGCGCAAGGCGCAAGGCGCAAGGCCCTGGCGCACCCATCCAAACCACCTCAGATCTTGCACCTTCGTGGCATCTGACTGACTCAATTTGGCAAACTTTACACACTCATGTGCCGGGGCACTCGTCGAAGCCAATTCGCTGAGGCCCGTTTTCTGGACAAATGTCCTGCTCGTGAAGTCAAGGCTGGTGCAAATGGGCTGTGACATCTGTCACACAAAGTGCCCCTGTCTCCCTTTTTTCAAGCTCTTGACGCGCCACTGTACAGTCGAGTGATGGACAAGGCGGAGCTAGAGCAATTGGTGGCAGCCTACGCATTCCCGCGCAGTCGGAGCATGAAAAGGACTTTCTGGACATACGCCTCCAGCCATGAGCTGTACGGCATGCCTGCAATCCAGTCCTGGGCAAGTTTGATTGGAGGAAGCCAACAGAAATGACATGTTGATCCATTTGCGGGCGAACTGAAACACTGAACTGTTGAGTAGCCCCAAACTGCGTAGTTGCTTGCCCTTTGTGTACATGTATAGTACTCAGGGTTGCACCAGGGCACCACGGAATAGAAAACCCTTGGCAACATTCTTTCAGCACCTCAACTGCAACCCACATGTCTCTGTCCTGAGGAAGCTGGCTGAAGCCCAAGCGACAGCCGAGCAAAGCACCAGCCACTGCTCCATTGGTGTCTGCATCGCCTCCTGCAAGAATCAGTTCGTTCAGCACGTCCTTCAAAGGGTTGGGCAAAATGTGTTTGAACGACCCCCCTCGTGGCGACCTTCGAGGCAAAACAAAAAAATATTTACACCACAGTGGGTTAAAAGCATGTTGCGACGACGGGTGGGCACCCTGCCTTGAACCCTCGAGATGCTGGCTGCTGCAAGGCCCACAGTCCGGCGCCCATGCATTTGAAGGTGTATCCGATGGTGCGCCGCTCGTCCAGCGCCAAGCCCGGCAGATCCGCCAACGCATGGCGCCGCAGCTCCTCTGCCTCCGCGGCCGGCTCCGCCGACGTCGCCTTGGCGAGCGCCGGCTCCACCACGGCCTTCGTGAGGTCGGAGTCGGAATCAAAGCCGCGCAGCAGGTAGCTCACACAAAGCGAAACCACGAGGCAGCTGGCGATGCACCTGGGATCCGCATGGGTGGTCCGACAGAAGCTGCTGGCTGCGGCCATCACCGCATCTTCGTCCCAGAAATTCGGAATTCCCGCGGCAGCTGTCCTGACAAGGAGAGCAGGACCGGCGAAATCAAGATGTCAATGTATTCGCACATACTTGCACCAACCCGGAAAGCTTGTTTTTTTTGCGCACTACTTTGTCCTCATCACGCCACCATTTGAGGGGATCTTGGACGAGTGCGCAGCGGCAACCTTGTGCGGTGATGACACGAATCCTGGATCGTTCAGCACGGCCTTGGTCGTCTGACCCAAGCCTGCAGCGGACTGGTCCCCCAGCTCTGGGAAGCCGGACTTTTGCCAGGCCACCAGCCGAGCAGCGAAGTCGCAGGGATCAGCCTGGCCAGCCGACTGCAGCAGGGATTGCAGCAGAAGCAGCTGCTGGTCCGTGTCGTCCGTCCAGTCGCCCGGGCACCACATCATGCGGTGCTCGTCCGGGAAGACCTCCGCGCCCGGCCGGAAATCCCAGCCCGGGCCGTAGAAGTCGCTGACCTCCGCGCCGCTGAGGAACTCCGCGGCGAGGCCCGCGGCGTCGCCCAGCGCCGCCCCGAAGATGGCGCCGCGCACGCGGTCCGCCAGGGCCTCCGGCGCCAGCGATGTGGCGGACGCTGGCACCGCTGGCCAGAGGTCGAAGCGCAGAGCTTCCACCTGGGCCACGGCCGACAGCAGCTCCTTGGGACCCAAAGGCGTCACCAAAGACTTCTGCAGGCGCTGGAAGGCCTGCTTTCGCTTTGGGGCCTTGGGAGTTGAAGCCTTCAAGGTCCGCAGGTCATCTTGCGCACTGGGCGCTGCTCCCATGGCAAACCAAAGAGATACGCTGGACCAGCTGGGGAACAAACAGCTGTGGACATCAACATCATTTCATGAGGCTGTCATGCACAAACCAAATCAACCCACAGAAGTGATATCTTCAACCATTAAGCTCAAGGGGCTACATGGAAAATTGAACATTCGCCAATTTACGGGCAGGTTGCCACATCCGAAGCCTGCGGGGACTCTTTTGGAGGGCCAGAAACAAAGCCATTCCCAGCTGCACTCCCTTCGACTCCTGCCAGTAGCGATCCAGCTCCTTCAAGAAATGTCGGGAGACACGTCAAACATGCCAAGGGTGGCAATCACAGGCGCCAAATGCCATTCACGCGCATGTCCCAAGCATGTCCAGCTCACCGGCTCGGCACGAGCCGTCCTCAGGCGTGAGCTCCACCTTGAGTGTCCGCTCCACCAGTTCGCTGAATTCCTGCGCAACATTGAGATGGTCAAAACATGCTGCAACTCATGGAAAATGTCTACGTACCCTTGGGCATTCGTTGGTTGGGAAATTTAAAGAGACCCTCATGTCCCTTGTTTCCCAACAGAGGCTACCGGATAGTTCGACCAAAGGCATATAATAATACCAATATTATACCCATATGCAACAGCATGATGTAACATCTGTTGAAGGCCGACATGTTCCAAGCCCGATTGCGCAGCTCTGACGGTTGAAATAGCAAGGAGCAGTTGCACAATTGGGAGATGAGGACGTCCTCCCGCATGATGAAGCCGTCACCGGACCGGTCCGCGAGGTTGAAGACTGAAAGGCTCCGTTCCACCTGATACATCGAGGCGCTCGCTTTCCCCAGCCGGCAGGAAAATCCCGCGCCTCATCTTCGGAGCAGCCATACTGGCGGCTGAGTCGCTTGGCCGGGACGCCCACGCCTTGCAAATCCGCAGCTCCCAAGTGTTTGCCTCGCTTCCGTTTTTGGACCGCACACTGCCTGCACTTCTGTTCGCCTGGCCTCGGACCGGCTCACAGGGCCGAGGCAGCCTGGCTCCATATCCGGTCCGTAAGCTCGCGCTGCCATTGCGAAGGGTCTCCAGGGGCACTCCGCGCTTTTCTCGCCGATTTCGAGCAGGGAGCACACAAATGGAGCTCTGGAGTTTCTCTTTGCACAGGTCGGGAGCTTCCGACATCCGATTTTGGCATGTCCACAGAATCTCCCCAAACTTCAGAAATACTGATCAGAATAGATTGTCAGGGCTGGCTTGGGTCCACTGAACAAAATGCTCACAAGCAACTGTCCAAAGATACCTGCAGTTCGCGGCAGCCACGCCTGCCCTCAAACACTCAGCACAGCCCAAGGAACCCGGGAGGTGTCGCAGTTTCGAACCAGGGTTCGATTCCGCAACCATGAGACTACTGCCAGCAAGCAGAATCTTTGAGTCTCTGTGCTGCAGAGGCAGCTTGGCATTCAGATTATTGTCTGGATTGAACCGCGAAGGCTTTCGCGCTGGAATCTGTGTTATCTTGCCACTTAAGCCCGGCTCAATGCCTCCTCGCGGTCTCCGGAGAAATCAATGTCTATGGCTCGAAATCAGCGGTCCGACCGCCGTCTGAGAGAAATGCGGAACCAGGCACTTCAGACAGAATTAAGGACAAAGCACTCAGGGAATCGCAGAATACAGTCCAAGCTGCTTGATGGCTGAATCAAGGTCTTTCTGGCTGAATCAATGTCTTTCCCCAAGTGCTGCAGAAATGCAGGCGCTGTCAAAGAGGGCGCCATCTGCCAAATGTGTTGGGGGCGGTTCAGGCCTTGTCATCAGCGAAAGGCGATCTCCGATCTCCTCAGTCGGCTTCTCCCAGAGGCATTTACCCTACGCAACTCGTCGATGAATGTTGCTACTGGACGTGTCATGCCTGACCCCTCCACGACAATGGCTTGCCAATGTTTGGCAAATCTGCACTCTTTTACTTGGCCTTCCGCCGCCCCCCTTGTGCATTGCCATCAAGTTGCACCACAGTGATACGCTGATCTCTTTGGTGACCACAGCGCAGAAAAAGCCACTCTGGAACGAGGCCTGCCGCAAGTGCGTTCTTTTCTGAGTCCGGGTCGCAAGGCGTCCTGTGCATCAGAACAATTCTTTGACACGCAGAGCGAGTCAAAAAGTACGAACCTCCTGGCAGTTGGTCACTATTCGAAACCCATCACTTGCCACCAGTCTTCCAAGGCAGACTGCCAGAAAGTACAGCAAACCAAAGGACAGAACAACGCTTCCACCTGGCAAGCACGGAACAGACCGTGCCTTCATGCTGAGGTCAAAGAGACCCTCCAAGCTTACCTCTGCATAGCCGCCAATGCCTGCCAGAGATTCAGCTCGAGCGGACACGGGAACAGCCCACCAGCCAAGGCGGGAGCCGATCTGACGATCGCAGCGGCGCCTTCGTTCGATGAGATCACAAACTGCATCTGCAGGTTGTCCAGGTCCACAGTCATGGTGAGGCCTGGGAAGAAACACGGAATGGGGCCCCCAAGGCTTTCAGTCTGAAGCACCCCCATCATCCTCAGTGCATCCCAGCAGCACAAGCCAGGCTCCAAAGGAGGAAGCTGGGCTTTCAACTTGCGAACATTCTGCCGATCGCGAATGCAAATCACCTCAGTGCGGGTGTAAAGAAATGTTTGTGAATTGACTGTCTGCGCGTATGTGTTTATGCGCGCGCGCATCTGTAGATATATTCGTACAAGGCTAGTGTATGAATGTCTGTGTGCTTGCGTGTCAAAATGTGTGTGTGTGTATATAAATGCATGGGTGCACGCTTCTTTGCATGTGTCCGTGTCTGCGACTTTGTGCACACATCGAAGAAAATGAGGAAAGACTGTCCAGCCGCTCTAATCTGCTGGAAACCATGCAAACTTCCCTGAGCTGTGCACGCCGCGCTTGTTCAGAAAGACCGTGCGCATCTGCTGGATGTTATTGCCTGGCAGCTCGTCACTTTGCATGTGTGCCACACTGAAATTGCAGGCCACGGAACAAACGGATTCAATGCATGCTGCCAAGCGACGGCGTACTTTGGAGTCAAACACAAAGCCGGCACCATCGGCAGCTCCGAGCTCACCGTTGAGGATGCAATAGTGGTATGTATGAACGCCTGCACCCCACCATCTAAAAAGCATACACACAGACACACACGACATGCACTAGACAATACCTATTTCTGTTGCCCCAGATCCGAAGTGCGGCCACCCCAAGTTTGCTGCAAAGGTCGGCGAAACCTCAGGGCCATCAAGCTGGAAGTGGCCGACACTGCTTGGGCCTCAATGCGTTTTTGCAGGGAGAGGCTTAACACGTGGGCTAAGAGGGGCCAGCTTTTTGTTCACTCTGAGCCCGAAGATCGCCATGCCTCGGCAACGTAGTGTGGAGTCAAAGACCATGCATATGGAGCTAAGCTCCATGGGCATGCCACGATCATTCATGACAACCTGCCGCGCAAAAAACCAACAAGGGTCATGCGAGTGGAACAACTGTGGGACATTTTTTGTGTATTTGGTAGCGGTTGATTGAGCGGGTACCCGCATTGCAACGCTGCATCTGCCACGTGCGCCCTGGCCTTCTGACCACTTGCTGTCTTCGTGAAAACATGACCATCTGCAGAGATGGACCCGACAGTGCTGGCAGACTTGTGCCAGCGACACGGAGAAAGACTCGCGGAACTCGTGTGCTGACTCGATGTGTCCTTAGGATTAGGTACCAAATGTTCAAGCATGTCCGCTGCATGATTGCTACATGCACCGGACACAAGGCAATAAACTGAGTTTGGCACCTCCGCAGTCCTTTCTATAGCTGCCGACTCTGCTTTGATGTCGCTCGCTGGGGCATGATGCATGCCATTTCCGGACTTGTATTCCATCTCATCGCTTTTGGCAGTGCTGGCGCAATTGGAGCCTGATGATCCCAACGAAAAGGTATCATGGTCACTTCCATCCTCCGTGCTGCCACAGTTCGAATCATGCCCGTCGAGATCCATGTCCAACCTCTTGCCAGAGCCAACAGAGAGCCGGATTCTCTCACCACGCACCGCCACCTTCACAGGGTCTTGCAGAGGTGAATTCGTCACCCGGGGGAAGATGCTGCCATCGCAAACGTGCTCAGCAGTGACATAGGCTGGCTCGCCGGCGCAGAACATGGCACGTCTGGGCTCGGGCGCCTGTACGGCTCTATGGAAATCTTGGGCCAAAGCGGCAATGAAAGCTCTTAGGACTTCTAAAGTCCTGATCGGGACTGGAGAAGCGAGCTGGTCAAATGCAGTTGCTTGTCACCGAGACATCACGCGGGCCTCGACAATACGCAAGCCACTCCGGCAGCGCATAACCGGAGAGGTTCAAATTGGCCAGCACCGGCCTCGCAGGCTGAGCTTGGCAGCCTCAAACTGGCCGTTGTCCCGCTATCCGTGCTCAAAGCCAATCACAAGTGTCCCCATCTCAATCTGTGTAGTGGCCAAGGCTGAGGTCCGGAAAGACAAACAACAAAGAAACAAAACAAAGGCAAAGACCAAAAAAAAAAAAAACGAAAAACAAAGAAAAACACAAACAAAAACAGCAAGAAGAAAAACGACCAAAACAACAACAAAACGCAACACGCCGCGGCATGCCTCCGAAGCCTTCCTGGCCCGTGCCGCCTGTGGAGATCGCCCCATCCTGAGCTCTCACAAGTCAGGCGTCCACTCATTCCGCAAAAATATGTACCCAGGCTTCCTGGAAAGAAGGGAGCAAGCGCTGGAATGATCCAAGGAGACCAAGGAAAACCGGCCAATTGGACAAGTCCCCAATCCAGAGGTGTCCCATGCAATCGTTGGGGGTTGACCCTGCAAAATGGCAGAAGGACGATTCACATTCCCATGCGCATGCTAAACGTCTGAACATCTATATTCAACGGATATTATACCCGCACAAAAATCCAATGACTCTAGAAAAACACAGAAGTCGACTCTAGAACTCCTGCCTCTTGCACCAAGGCCCGCACGGGCACCAAGCGTCCTGCAGCGGAAACAGCTGCTTCCCGTTGCCCCACTTTTGGCACAGAGCTCATGGAGTGTGTCTGATCAGTCACCATTCCTATTGCCAGAAACCTTGCAGCGCCTGCAAAGCACTAACAACCCCCCTGCGCTGAGCTGCTGGCCGGGGGATGCCGCAACCATGTCCGTATTTCGCAAGACATGCTTGGGAAAGTGGGCTGAAGAGGAGTGGGCTCACGTTCTGCTCCGCAGAAAGGAGTCTGAAGGGATGTAGCAAACACGAGGAGATGGAACTATTGGGAAGAATCTGGAAATAGCTTGTCAAACATGAACCGCCTCTGGATCAGATTGACGAGCCGGGCAACAGTTGGTGATGTTCTCCCCATATTTGCTCAAACCAGGGCAGGGTCGTGGTGAAGTGCCGAAAGGCGTGAGGCAGACTGCTATGGTGGCACAGTGTCTTGGCAACAAGGTGTCTGATCACTGCACCTTGTTCTGAGCTGGGTGGTTGGATTCTGTACTGCTGGCTGCTGTAGATTCGAGCAGCTGCAAAGGCGACCGCTGCAATCGCTTGTCGCCCTCAGCTTAGAAGCCCTGTGCAAGGCGGAGCGATCTCGAAGCCAGTGCTTTTTGTTGGTCGCATGATCGTTGCGCTACAAGTATCCATCAGCGTACCGCCACCTGAAACCAAGAGGATTCATGCGTCATGGATATCATGGAACAGGCACTCTCGAAACTCTCTCACCTGGACATAAGGTCAAAGTAGCGGCAGCGGTTCGTTGGCAAGCCTCCAACATTCGTCACCCAGCACAGCAAACAGCGTCGCCAAGACGGACATCACTGCTTTGCTTGTCCGCGCCTGCCCTCATCAAGCAGCGATTCTCCGCCTGGGTGCCAGTCCGCGGCAACAGCGCCCCGGCAGAAAGATTACATGAGCTGCATAAGCCAAGGCAACACACGGCTATGGGTCAAAACCCCGTACCCCCAGTGAACATCCCAATCCCACTAAAATAGGTTTTGCACCAATACTCCAACATGGTATCCCATTGGTGTTGACAACCACGGCCACACCTTTCACTTCTGACCATCCGACCATCCCGCGCAAGTGGACAGCTCCAAGTTCCCAGCCGCACAAAGCCACAGCATGAGCTCTCGTCTCGATGCCACGGGCGGAGGCCCATAGTCTTTGATGGCACCGCCGTAGGCATTGGCCTGGCACCGACTCCGCGCACGTTCGCTTGGCATGAGAATTACCAGAAACTTGACACTAGGTGATGACAGTGGACAACAGGCTCTGAAGACCCTAGGTGTTCCAGACAAACAGGCACAGGCACATATGGTCCGTGACGGCACAGGTCCTGCAAGGCTGGGAGTCTGACAAGAGTGCCACAATGCGAAGCACATTGGTTTGTTTGTCTGCACAAACCATGCAGCCGAGTGTGCCGGCAACTGTGGCAGCATGTCCAGTCGAGCAACGCTCCAAAGCTGGCAATTGCGGTGCGGCTGTGGTCAAAGGTGGCTTCTAGAGGCTCTTCCTCTCACCGACAAACCAGGTGATCCAAAAAAAATGGTTGCCAAAACAAGCAACGGAACCACTTGCGAGTACCTGTGCCCAACAACGGATCTCCTGAAACTTGGAGAAGAAGGTCTCCAAGGCTTCCTGGCACCGGCTCCAGACATGATCCGGTTATGGGCGGCAGAATCAGGTGACCTTGACACCAGTATGCATATGGCTGTGGGTGTCAAAACCAATGGTACGATTTCGGAGTGGGTGCACCACCCATTTTAGAACTTATTTTAGTGGGGATTGGGATGTTCACTGGAAATTGACCCATGGCAATATTGCTGGTCTAACCAGCAGATCAAAGCTGACTGGTTTCGCGGCTGCTCTCCCTCACACTACATGAGGGTTTGTCAGCAGGATGTGATGAGGGTCGGTTTACCTTCCTCAGGGGCCCTCTATCAATGTCCATGTTGTGTGTATACATTATATATATATATATATATATATGTATATGTATATATATATATTTTGCTACCCCCCCCCCCCCTGCTCGATGGATCTACCTTTTGCTGTTTGATATTCTGGAGATGGAAATTTAGCAAAAAGCAATAATGCCATAGAGGTTCTTTGCTTGGTGATCCAAAAACAAGACTTCTTAGAGTGGGAAAACTTCTGCGATGGATTCTTGGATTCTTGGTTTTTGGGGCGGAAAGCGGACAAACATTGCTGGGTAAGGCCACACTGTTGAAAAGTCTGCCTTTTCGGGCTCACCTCATGACCATCACCACAAGTGCAAATCCAAATATTAAATTGCAGGGGCAGCAGCAAACCTCATTCCTACACGAAGGCAAGCCGGGCTCACAGCAAGCGCCTGCTGGTCCTGCCTGCTCATCCTTCTTTGGCATCTCTGGCGCATATGCGGCAGTGGTCCAGAGCAGGAGCCACCTGAGTCAAAATCAGGCCTGGTATTGAAATGGGTGTGGCTCAAAATTACACCACCACGGGACCGCAGGTTTGTGGTCCAGTCCATGTTTCCATTTACCAGGGTTCCATTTTGGGCACATGGTCGACCCAAAACAAAAACAAGGCGTGAAGCCTTCTGAATCAGATGCTCGGCCAAGTCGCTGAGCGCCACAAATATCCGTGGTCTCATTCGTACTTTGCAGTGACATGGCGCGCTGCCTGTCTGTGTCACTGGCTTTGTCCTTTGCTTCAAGCTGGCATCTGGTGACCTGATCTGAAAGTTGGGCCCTGGTACTTCCCCACTGTAAGCTGAAACTGCTGACAGCCTCTCCCTCAAGCGTGAGACCCCTGATGGCACAGCTGACCGCGCGTCGCGCAGAGCTCCGGGCACCTTTTTCCCGGGCGCGGTCGATTACCTGGCATCCTCCCTGTTCATGATCTCTTCCAGGGCTGCGCACTTCTTCGCCCAGGGCGGGTAATCCTGGAGCTCTTCCAGGTAGGAGCAGCTCCTTGGACGCCGAGGCACACCCAAACGGGGGAGTTCGGTTCAGCACCTAAGACGCCTGCTTCTTGAAGAACATCCGGGCGATCCCAGGAACTGGCATCTGCCAGGCAAGCATCACCTTCCGATGGGAAAAAGGCAATGAGTTCATCTCTGGAGAGAGAAGGCACCCATGGATCGGTGAGTATCTTGTATGTCCACTGAGTGCGTAGCGCTGGTGTTGTCATCTGTTGTCTCAATTGCATGAGGGACGTTGACCTTACACCGGGCAACACACCAGTAGCAAAAGGAATCACTCCAAGTGAATTGCTGGCGCATCCTATATGAAGAAACAAAGTGCTGTTCGGCAGTGGAACGGAAAAGCAAATCTGCATCCATGGGCTCCCTAGCATGTATTTTTCTTTGGGGCCGAAAAGTGGTGAACTTGAAATCTGTCTGATGGACAGTTCAATCTGCCTGAATGTGCAAAAAGAGTTGAAGCTCGCAATAAAAACAGGCGCCGCCGGCGTGAAGCGGTCGTTTGCCAGGAGACTGGAAGATAGATCAACTCTCCCGCAGACACGTACCCTTCCAGTGCGCGTGCATGCCGTACGTCAGGCTGAGAGCCTGGATTGAGGTGCCGCCGAATGCCCGAGACGAGTAAAAAATCGCCCAGCTGGTTTGCACAAAGAGCAGAGCTTCGTGAGTGAAGTCGCTTCAGCTGCATTGTTTGGGCATGTGCGCGCCTTCGTCGGGTTGCAAAACATCCGCAGAGAAGACCCGGTCCGCATATTCACTACCTAGCACCAACCAGTCTGACTGCCTCGACTTTACCATCTGCGGCGCCTCCAAATTCAGGCCTCTCATAGAGAGATCTTGTCGATGAAGGAGACACGACAACCACCTTCTTGGTGCCGTGCAACATCCAGAGCCTCTCAGCTGGCATATTGTTTGCTCAGTATCTGGCATTCAATGTTGGGCTTGCACGCTTCCCAAAATTCAACGATTGAAGCTAGTCTAGGCATTTCGGCGCCAATCATGCTGAACCTGAGAGGGGTCTCTAGACATTTTTCTACTGGATTTCTGGCAAATGAGATAGGGTCGAGAATCAATTTGGGATTATTTTTTGTTTTATTTTAGGATGTTTTTTTTGTTTTCCGTCCTGGCTACTAAATTGCTGTAATTTAAAGCATTTTCTCGCGAAATGTACGTATTTTACGCGTCTGTCAACATCATCAGCAACGTTTTCAACATCCCCCGCATGTCCAGCCAACATCCCCAGCATCACCAGCAAATTGGCTTCCCGCATCTCATGGTAAAAGTGAGGATTCAATTAACGGCGCGGGGGGGGTTGGGGGGTTGGGGGGGGCGGCAGCCCGCCTTGAAAGGGGCGGCAGCCCCCCCATGATGATCGAAAAATTAGGGGCAAAGAATCTAAAAAGTAGCGGTCGCATGATGATCGAAAAGTGATGATTCAAATCCGGGCAAAAAGTCTAAAATAGCGGGGGGGTTGGGGGCGGCAGCGCCCCCATGATGATTAAAAAAGTGATGATTCAATCAAAGGCACAGGGGGGTTGGGGGGGGGGCAGCCCCCCCCCCATGATGATTGAAAAAGTGATGATTCAATTAACGGCGCGGGGGGGTTGGGGGGGGCGGCAGCCCCCATGATGATCGAAAAAGTGATGATTCAATCAGGGGCAAAAAGTCTAAAAAATAGCGGCGGGGTTGGGGGGGGCGGCAGCCCGCCCCATCATGATCGAAAAATTAGGGGCAAAGAATCTAAAAAGTAGCGGTCGCATGATGATCGAGAAAGTGATGATTCAATTCGGGGCAAAAAGTCTAAAAAATAGCGGCGGGGTTGGGGGGGGGGGGCGGCAGCCCCCCCCATGATGATCGAACAATTAGGGGCAAAGAATCTAAAAAGTAGCGGTCGCATGATGATCGAAAAAGTGATGATTCAAATAGGGGCAAAAAGTCCACAAAATAGCGGGGGGGTTGGGGGCGGGCGGCAGCCCCCCCATGATGATTGAAGAAGTGATGATTCAATTCGGGCCAAAAAAATATTAAAAAAGCAGCGGGGGGGTCATCAGTACCTCTGCGCCAAGGCCTCATGGTAAAAGTGAGGATTCAAATATGGGCAAACTAATCCCTGTAGATCGAAAAAGTGATGATTCAATCAGGGGCAAAAAGTCTAAAAAATAGCGGCGGGGTTGGGGAAAGCGGCAGCCCCCCCCATGATGATCGAAAAACTAGGGGCAAAGAATCTAAAAAGTAGCGGTCGCATGATGATCGAAAAAGTGATGATTCAATCAGGGGCAAAAAGTCTAAAAAATAGCGGGGGGGTTGGGGCTGCCGCCCCCCCCCATGATGATCGAAAAACTAGGGGCAAAGAATCTAAAAAGTAGCGGTCGCATGATGATCGAAAATGTGATGATTCAATTAGGGGCAAAACGTCCACAAAATAGCGGGGCGGCAGCCCCCCCCAAGATGATTGAAAACGTGATGATTCAATTAAGGGCGCGGTGGGGGTTGGGGGGGGGGGGCCTGCCGCCCCTCCATGATGATCGAAAAAGTGATGATTCAATTAGGGGCAAAACGTCCACAAAATAGCGGGGGGGTTGGGGGGGGGGGGGGGCAGGCCCCCCCCATGATGATTGAAGAAGTGATGATTCAATTAGGGCCAAAAAAATATAAAAAAGCAGCGGGGGGGTCATCAGTTCCTCTGCGGCAAGGCCTCATGGTTCAAGTGAGGATTCAATCACGGGCAAACTAATCCCTGTAAAACACCTAAAACGTAGCAGGGGGGGGGGCCGGCAATTCCCCCCATGATGATTGAAAAAGTGATGATTCAATTAAAGGCGCGGGGGGGGTTGGGGGGGGGCGGCAGCCCCCCCATGATGATCGAAAAAGTGATGATTCAATCAGGGGCAAAAAGTCGGGGGGGATGATGATTGAAACAAGTGATGCTTCAATGGGCAAAAATAAGCTCAGGCGATATCCCCAACAGCATGCGGTGCTCTTTTTAGTGCTCGCACCACCCCGCAGCCCTCGCAGAACCTCGCGGAACCCTCGTGGAACCCTGGTGGAACCCTGGTGGAACCCTCGTGGAACCTTACCTTAGGGCCGCCCCGGACCACCCCGGAGCCTATCTGGGCTGAGACCCCAAAGCTTTCAGCTGTTGGGGGAAAATATATTTAACACAAAGCAGCGGGGGGGCATCAGTGCCTCTTCGCCAAGGCCTCATGGTAAAAGTGAGGATTCAAATACGGGCAAACTAATCCCTGCAAAACGGCAGCCAAAGAATCTAAAAAGCAGCTGATCGAAAAAGTGATGATTCAATTAGGCGTGTATTTTAATCGAAAGGGGGGTGGCGGGGGGCACAGAGAGGAACTTGCGATGCTGAGGATGCAGGAAGCCAAGGCCAAAAACCAACTGGGAAAGCAGAGGATGCGAAAAGCCAGAGCCAAAGCCGCCAAAAGCCAAAGCCAAAAAGCCAGCAACTGGCAATGCAGAGGATGCGAAAGAGAGGAACTGTGAATGCAGAGGATGCGAAATGAAAAGCCACAAAAGCCACAAAAATCCACGTAAAAGCCACAAAAGCCAAAAAGCCGAAAAGCCACCCACCCTGAAAAACAAAAATAATTCCTTTAAAAAAAAAAAACTTAAAAAATGGCCCTCCAATGAGATGTCTACTCGCTTGCCAAGGTGCAAGTTGTCATTGAAAGGCCCGTGCTGATGCAGCGGAATCGCTCTGGAACCTGCTGGTGCCACAAATAGAACCTGAGATCTGGAGCAACTCAGTTTCCGCAAAGACCCCAGGAAAGCCAGAATCAGACTACAGACTCTGCAGCACGCCCGGCGTCTCCAGCAAACTCGTCACGTGGCCATGGGTCAAAATCCCTTATCCGCAGTATTCCGCAGTGAACATCCCAATCCAACCACTAAAATAGACTACTAAAATGGGTGGTGAATTCAGTACCAACCAAAATGGGATCAACCAAAACGGTGTTGACCACAGCCACATCCGGAGTTCTGAATCCTCCGAGCAGCGGGGTGCATCGACGCGTAGGTCGGCCGGTCCTCCCGGGCCTCAGCCGCCTCGGAGCTCCGTGCGGCCCTCTCCGCGGCATCGGCTCCGTGCGGCTCCCCGAAACTCAATGGAAAAAAAATCGGTGCACGGCTCCCATGAAGTTTTCCACGTGAAAACCACTCCAACTCAAATTTGATCTGAAGCTTTGCGGGAAGCAAATGTGAAAGCTCAAATCCAAATGCCTCCAAGTGTCGAACTCTATCAATCTGGAAAGTACTCTGTTGCCTTCCTGCATCAGCGGTCGACAATCATGCTTATCAATGTGTTGTGCGCTGAGCATGACGGGAAACAGGTAGTCAACGATGTTGCCTCCATACAAGTTGATATTGTCTTTGGCAGTCAGAATCGCCTCTTTGTCACTCTCCAGCGAAGATAGATACTCTTGTAGAGTCTTCTCAGCGTGCATGGCATCAATAATCTCGGCAGTGCTCTTGTTGTAAGCCTTGATCGTCCGCGGGTCCAAGAAGATCCTACGCGCCCATTCAGGGATAGCCCGCAAGCCCGCGGAGTAGCGCCGGGCGAAGGACACCTCCATTCTCCCGCACTCCTTGCGCAAGCGCTCGAGGCTCCATTCCCGCAGAGGCGAGATGTCCGTGAGGATCACTGGCGTCCTTCCTTCCACATACCGCTCCCGGAATTCATCGGCCGTCAGCGAGGCCAGGGACCTTCGGTCAATGCCCGGCCAGGCTCGGGATGTGAAGTTGTACGTGCCATAATCAGCAAATGTGTGATTGTAGACTCGGGACAAGCGCTTGTCCCTTCCAAGTGTCCTCCAAATCACATTCAATGCAGACTGCACTCTCCATTGGGCAGATTGAGTTCCGCAGATCCAGGCAGCAACTGCAAGCCCCAGAGCAACCGGTACAGACTTCATGGCAAGGAGGCTGCTTCTTCAGATGTGCGAGTCATTTCTGCCATGTTGTTCTGCGCGATTTCTCTGCATTGGTTTGGTTGTCATGCGCAACCTAATGTAGAGACCTGAGACCTGCAGCAGAAAGAATATGCAAAGATCAAACTACGAACATGACAAATTTACGCGCCAAAAAGCTGGCATCCGTGAAAAGCAGAAAAACCATCTCTGAGCAAGCAAAGCGGTTTATTGATCCTTAAAGGAATCATCCAAACATCATCTGACAACTGGATCCAATGAACCTACGTCTTTTCCCCCTTCTGCTGGAGGCGTCCGCGAGCGCTGACGAACAGCCTGCCCTTGAGGGATTTCGGCTTCCACCGGCTGGTACGCCTGGTTGGCCATCTGCGACATTGGCAGCGAGTTGAAAAAGACTTGCTGGACGCCCATCGGCGCAGGCGCCATCGCGAAGCACGCCTGGGGCTGCACCTCGCATCAAGCGAAGCAGCGACTTGAAAGGGTTTGGTGCACCAAGCACAGAGCCGGCGAAGCGAACTCGACAACCTCGGGGTTAACGTCGGAGCAAAACACCCGGCGCAGCTTGCTTCCTTGCTTTTTTACCCAAGGGCGCGACGTAGGCCCTCTGCCCATTGAAGGTGATGGCTGTGACCGTGGGTGACCTGAGCCCGGCGTCAGTGAACGCCAGCAGGCAGTTGCGAAGTAAGCTTACGTGCTTGTGCATGGCGGTTCCCGTTTTTCCCTGCGGTTGCCGTTTTTCCTAACCAGCCCGGCACGACAAATTGGCACAAGCCCTGGTGACTAGTCACAGCGATCTACACACGCCTCGGCACTGAGCCGGCAACAAAGCTGCCAGGGCGGCACCCTGCACCGGACGCCGCCACGCAGCCCGACAGAGCAGCAGCCCAACGCTTTGGCGGCAACACGGCAACAAGCAGTCGGAGCATTCCCTGATTGAGAACAATCCCAGTCCTGCGGCATGAGAACACGTGCCACAAGGTTTGGGGGTTTGGGCAATTTGTAGCTCGGCTCAGTTGTGGCCGCTGTGTAGTATCGGGGCATATGCAAAGTGACACAATGTCACAAGACTCTCGATTGAAGATAAAAGCAAGCAGGAAAAGAAGCCTGACAGGGTCTTCTACGGCTCCAGCCTCGTCGTTCTTCTGTGAATCTGGACAAGGCGCATGCTGACCAAAGTAAGGTATCAGCAACGACTCTCACTCAAAGCCAGCGCCTGCAGCAGGAGGCAAGTTGCCATAACTCAGAATGAAGTACGGAAGCAAACAGGGCAGAAGAACAGTACCCCTATGGTGCTAGAAGCAAGCTAACAAGCCATGTTTGTAGCAGCAAAGTCCATCTGCCCCCAAAGCAATCGAAGAGAAACGGCTGCAATGCTGGGGCACAAGGACAGCGTTGATTCATGATCTCACCATGCTTAGCACCTCACTCGGCCGCATAGAATTCGAAGAATGTCCTTTGAGTCTGCAACTGGGCGACCCGGAAACACATCACAAATGCCTGAAAGCCCGGCAACGCGACGCTTTGAATACCGCCAAGGCTCTGGATGGACTTCACCGAGTGGCGATGCCTGGGCAAAAGCTCGGGTCGTATCACAGCAAGCGACTACTCTGGCTTGATTTGCTTGATGCAGCTTTCAAACCCATCCAGATCATCTAGGAGGGCATGCTCAGGAGCAAGGCACGAGGGGATTTGGCAAAACTGCATGATGGGTAAGCTGAGGCTGACTCGGATCTCTAAATCCTCCACTCTGCTTGTCGCAATGTTCCCACCACTTCTGCTTGAGATCCGGAGACCTGGCATGACACCAGCAGCTTGCCCGGATCAAACAACCATGGCAGCAGCACAAGCGGTGAGCATCTTTCACCTTTTGAACCTTGGAGATTGGCACGGGCAATGGTGCAGGGACACATGGGACTCTCATGCGCTGGTTGATCAACCACTGGGGCTTCAGTCAGCTTGATCAATCAAGGGTGCAACCCACCAAGTGAAGAACTCACGCGCGAGTCCATGAATCAAAACATTTGCATGTGATGCCTAGCCCAGCTTAGCCCTGTCAACTTTCTCCGTCGTAGCAAAGGTTGTCAGGTGCATCTGCTAGGTGCTGACTTGGCATTCACTAAGTCTCCAGCCCAGTACTGGTGCGTCTCTGGATCTGACCTCGGAACAGAAGCACGGGATAGGGGGCCCCAGGTGAGCAGCATACAAAATGTGTGGAGGCTGTCAGTTCTGCTAAGCTGCATTTTGAAGATCTAGCTCAAGCTACAAACCTCATTTTAACTAAGAAGCAGCCACCCCCGCCCCCCCCCCCCGGCAACTGTTTTCACCTGACCAGCCGCTCCGGTCTGGTCCTGGAACGTTTCGGCCGAGGCGCCCTGCTGCCAAGGCCCTGGCTAACTCGCGACCAAATTCCGTGCGACGCCGAAGGCCCAAATTTGGGTCGTGTTTTGCTGGCCCTTGAAGGGAAAACCACGGGCCAAACAGAGGGCTCGCCTGTTTTGGAACATATTTGACATGTGACAAAGAAGCTGTTTCTCGGAGCGATGGTTCTGGAAAGAACTGATCTTAGATGAAACAGCGGAAAGCCAACCTTCAAATGCTCGAAGCGCAATTCGCCATGCATTGCAGCCAGGGCCCTCTGCAACCCAACACGTGAACTCAAGAACGACATGCCAACCAAATGCTGGGGAACCCTCCAAGGAATCCATCGCCACCACTAGCTGGCGGGAAACAACTATATCTTTCACTTAGGAGAGGACAGGTTAGCTTGTCAATCTGCCGTTCCCATCTGAGCCTCGCTTTTGACAGGCCGCCCTGCTCGCGAAGCTGGAAGAACCGCCGCAGGGATTGCAGGGTATGCCTGTCCACTCGGTCCGGTGGCAAACGTCCTGACATCCGAGCCAAGCAGAGCCTCTGCGGGTCCCGCCGGTTGGTCTTGCCTTCCAGCCTCAGTCGCAAGCCGTCGCCCTGCCCAAGAAGGCCCCTGAGTCCCAAGGCTCGCAGAAAGCCCACCACTGCCTCACTGCCGAAGCGTACTTGGGACAAAATGTCCAGCATATTGCGACTCAGATGCTGTTTGCTTTCCTCACTTTCGCGCTGGACCTGCGGCAACCGCGACGAAACAGGCACGGCCAAAGCTGCACCCAGCACCCTGCACAAATAGAAAAGCAGCGGTCTACGGTAAGGCTCTCTCTACTCATTGAGATCCAGCCTGCTTCACGCGCTTGACCAGCGAAGCATGTTCATTGGGGTCCTCGCCAAAGTCAGGTTCTGCATGACATGCCTCTGAGACTTCGGTATAGCATTGGGCTCCACCTTTTTGCCGCGGGAGATCTGAAGCGTCGAATGGAAGCTGCAGCCTCAAGAGTGGCAGCAAGTCCCGCCCTGGACACTTCCCCAACAGCAACTCCCGGAACCGTTCACGAACCCTGGCCCTGAGCCGCACCGAAGCAAAACTTGGGGAAAAAAACGCCTGGCCATGGGTCAAAATCCAAATCGTACCCCCAGTGAACATCCTAATCCGCACTAAAATAGGTTCTAAAATGGGTGGTGCACCTACCAACCAAAATGGGATCCCAAAACGGTGTTGACAACCACAGCCACCTGACCTTCATGTCACACGCTGACTCTTAAAGCCACGGAGCTGCGGAGAAGCTGGCACTCCAGATATGGCGCTGCGGCTTATTCTTCCTTGGTAGCCAAGAGCTGGGTATTATGGCTGTGGGTCAAACATAGGTGCCCAAAATGGAACCCTGGTAAATGGAACCAAGGGCTAAAACCTGCGGTCCCCTGGTGTCTTAATTTTGACCCATACCCATATGACATTGCAATACACCAAAAGATCTGCGGGAAACCGCAAAAAACCACCCAAAGATCTACCGGAATCCTGCAAACATCAGGCTAGAATCTCACTTCGGAAATCTCCTCGCGGAGCAATGCGATCTTGCCTCGCTGCGTCTGCCTCGATTGAGGGAGAAGCATCAGCAAACACTCGGCAGCAAAATAGCAGGGTGTATCTGATGCATGAACTGTGTGTGTGTTTGCTCTGATTTGCACAGGGCAGGCAGAATGACCAGGCGGTGCAAGAAAAGCAAAGTTTGCTGGATGGATTCTTCTGAGCGACTGTGACCGCAGAAGTAGCGCGGCTTGTCTACGATACGCCGCCGTGCTGTCCTCCGTCCGCTTGATGTCTGCTGCCAAGCACGCCTCCTGCTCCTCTAAGCCATGAACCTGGTTGATGTTCTCCCGCTCCGCGAGAAGCAAGTCCTCCAGTACAGTAGCAAAGCAACCAGTCAAGCCTAGGATTGCCAGACTTCTAGCTCCAAATAAAGCAATGGACAGGTGGTCTCTTCAAGAAACACCCCTTATGTGCCTCTCATTCAAGCCACAAACCCCCATCCCCATCTCCCCTGATCCCCAAAAATTGAGGTTTTCCCTGTGGATGTTGTTTTGGAAACCACAGACCAATTTCGGATCTCCCCCACGCCTCCGACTCGAGCCGCAAGCTGCTGCTCACGAACTCGACCTCTGCCAGCGGAAAGCGCTCCTCGCTCTCGACCCCATCGAACCGCGAGCTGCGAGCACCGCCCATCTCCACCATCAGCGCGCAGTGCTCGGCCTGGCCTGCTTGAAGCTCCGAATGGACCCATCTCACCTGACACATCTCCGACGTATTTGCATGCAAAACTATAGTTAGGATGCTCAGGAATGTGATGCTCGCAAAATTGCCCTTTGCATGGGAACATGAGCCAACAAACGTGCGGAACCCTTCAACACGTGTCCTCTTACGAAATCTGCTGCACGCAGGCTTGTGTGTGTGTGTATCGCCATGTGCGCCGGAACACAACTGTCAAGGTACACCACAGCGAAGCCAAGTCGGTACAATCTGCGAGGGCATGTTTTTGTGGCCTTGCCTGAGCTGCGATTGCCCACACAGCGAAGGCGCAAGGTGAGCCACGGTCAAGCACGCGCTTACCAAAAGGGAGAGAGCACAGGAAGCTGTGGGAGCGCACTTTTTTGTACATGTCAAGCTTTCTGGAGTATCGTTCACGTAGACTTACATATTCAGAAAAGAGAGCGGGATGCTTTGAGCGTGTTTTTTTTTCACAGTTTGAGCAGAAATCCAATCGAGCTATGGTATTTTTTGGGTTAAAAAAAATGATTTAACATGGTAACTGTTTTGTAAAGGATGTTGATTGGAAATACATTCCTGTGTAAATCCAAATTTGAAATAGCATAAAGTCAATTCTAAATTCTGATACCACTGGGCATTGCGTTTGGATTATGTCCATATCAAGTTCGGTTTGAACAAATCTATCCAAATTCTACATTCAAAATACATTTTCCAGTAGAAGTCTCATCAATAATTTCTTTAGTTGGGTCAAATTGAATTATAGAGAGCGGCCGTTGGCGGGGAGGCAAAATGAGTACTCACAACGCTACAAAACACTATGTTTTACAGTGCTTTGCGACCATGGTATTGCTGGGGCCAGATCGAGAAGAAAAAAAGAAGAAAAAAAAGAATTTAGGACCTCTGAATTCTTTAGCTATGAGTTCTACTTGATATGTTGTCATATTCTACTCAATGTCCAACTAAAATGAAACAGAATTCCATAAGGAAAGACTACAATCAGAATTGGTATTTTAAATTAGAATACAAATAATGGTTGTTCTATTTCAATTTCAAGGTTGCACGGGGCTTCCTTTCCAATAGAATTGTCTTTTGCAAGACAATGCACATGTAAACACAATTTACTCAGAGTATGGGGAAAGCGATTTGCCAGAGCAAAACTGCACAAATAGGTCGCATTGTCTTCGGAACCCAAAAAGCCTCGATGACTCCCAAAAAAAACGCCGAATACCGAGGTAGAAGGAAGGGGGGGATTGGGATCTGCATTTTGTTTTTGTTTTCTTGCCACAAGGGTAGAAGGAGGGGGGGGTTGGGGACTGCCATCTTGGTCTTTTTGCGTTTTTGTTTTGGATTTCTCGAGGCTTTTAAGGTGTTTGTTGAACCGGTTTTTGCATGTGCAGATGTAGTCCTTGGGGCAGATTGTTTTGTTTAGGCATGTGCAGATGTGGTCCTTGGCAGAAGAAGACCATCCAAATGTGATTGGAAAAAGTTGGACAAACACAAAACAAGTGCGCTCCAAGGGCAGCAGCCAGTCTCCTGGTCTGTCGCACATGTAGTGAGTCCCCCCATCCCTCCCAGGCCAAGTGGACCGCAGCTGAGGTTTCATGTCATGACTGACCACGCAAAGAGAGGCTACAAGCACGTCCATTCCACATCAGGGCCATGCAAACGAGATTGCAGGCACAGCCGAAATCATTGCAGGTTCCTTGGTGGCTACACGCAACTGGAGAGTTACAACGGCTATCTTGCAAGCTCACTGGTAACGCCAGGCATGCAAACAAATGCAGCCTGCGCTTGCACAAAACGGCCAAACCAGCAGAACGCCGAGACTGAACACCAGGGCATCGGACAATCAGGCACAAAACGGCCAGAGCAAGAGCGGGCTGCCTGATCAGGGGATGAGGGAATCAAGACTTCAAGGACCCTAAACCCTAACTCCCCTCCCGAAATCGCATGTTCTGTAAGTGCCGCTCACGCGTTTTCCACAATCTACACATGTAAACGGAGGCGTACACACATACAACCCACAGAAACGTCATGCAGCCTTGCCTCATCCTCCAGCGCCTGGGAGTCTCTCCAGAGGCTCGTCTCTTGCTGTTGCTGCTGGGCTTCCAACCGAAGGCTCCGCGCCAAGTCTTCGCTCTCCTGAAGATCCTGTGCAGCCAACGTCCGCGAGAGCTCTTCGAAGGCTTTGTGCATGCCTCCCAATTCATCGGCTACCAACCTGGCGGTCAAATCTGGGCAAGGTTGCAAAGGATGTGTGAGAGTCACTTGCAAATGGTCAACCTTTGCTGGGCGCTGTTGGGTAACAACCTCCCCCAGCTTTCAATCATGGGTCAAAATCCCGCACTTCCAGTGAACATCCCAATCCCCACTAAAATTGATTAACATGGGTGGTGCACCTACCCCAAAATGGGACCTCGTTTTGACCCACAGCCAAATCAGAGCCGATCTGGGTACAGGGAGCAGCTGTGTGGCCGCGCGCCGCCAGCCGGCGGCCGCGCTGCTGGCGCGCCCAACGCGCGCCCGGAGCAGCGCGCACACGGCCTGGAGCTCCTCGGCGCGGACCTCCGCGGCAGCCAGCTCCCACTCCCAGTCCGAAATCGCCATGGACGCGATTTCGTCGCGGAGAAGCGGAGGACGCGTGCATGTTTGGGTACCACATGGTCGTTGGTGAATACACTGCGATGGCTATGACTTCGCATGAAGTCTGGTCCGTGCAGAGCTGGGGCTAGGGGTGGTTGACGGTGGGCGCTACACAGCCAAAACACTCTAGATGCTTGCTGCAGATTCACAGGAACTGAAGAATTCGCAATGGCGTCCTCCATTTCGAACACAACCTCTCATGGAGGGCTCCTGGTCACGTCTGTTTGGCAAGCTGCCTTGTGCGAAATCACAAGCACGCCGTCCTCGATTTCACCAGGGTCGCTCGGGCGATGAGAAGAATGCAGATCATGTTTTGCATCGCTGTTCCTGCCTCCTTTCAAGTACGGCAATCACAAGTGAGCTTCAAAACACATTGAACCAGCTGCACGTTTGCAAACGAGTTCGCCTGCTGCAGTTCTAGTTGGCAGCCCTAGTCTCTCTTCCGCAATGTGATGATTTCAGCAATAAGCTGGGAACCAGGATTTGACTTCCAGATTGGGTGCTTGTTCCTTTCCAGCATGGATTCATGACAGCGCTCATTCTGCTCCTGTCAACAACACCTGCAAGGGCACAAAGGTCCCTCTTCCATACTCGTTCGGCAGCCAGCAGTCACGAGTATCATTTGGGAAGCTACGGGGTTGCCAGCAGTCTGCCCACCGTGGGAAGCTGCTTGCTATTTCGTTGCCTCGATTTCCGAGTTGGCCCTCTCGAATCTGCCATAAAAACATCTGGTGATCAGCCACAACGCCTTTCTGCTTGTGACACACGACATTCATCTTTGAGCAAACTTATTATAACTTGTAGGGCTCCGGTTAACAGGCGTGATCCAACAACCAATCGTTTCTCTCTGCGAGAAAAATATGTAATGCATCCAATGAACAGCTCACCGCTTCCTTGTGGCGCACAAGCGCTCCTTGTTTACATGAATCCTGATGATCCATCCTGGGAAGAGCTGATGCTTCGCGCGCTCTCTTCAGGCATGCTTTGTACATGAACGCTGCCGAATGCGTCAGGTACTAGTGAAGCGTTGTCAAGATGGTCTGAAATAAGAATTTGAGCAGTGGTACATAACGTTTTGCAGACACTGGGCGTTGCTTCAGTCTAGAAGTTGCTATCCAAAGCTTGAAGTGCCTACTTCTTCTGGATGGCATCTGACTCAGGTCCACCAGCAAGTGATGGGCCTCACCGTTTCACGCTTCAAACCAATGGGTGAGAAAAAGCAAAAGGGCAAAAGGCAGAAGAAAGGCGGACCCATGTCCAAGAGCCGCGCGCAAGTAGAAGAAGTCCGGGTTGAACCTGTCCCGAAAGAGCCGCGCTTGCCGCCGCCTGAGCGCGAAGTTCCGGTGCCCGGAACTTCAGCCCGCGAGGTTCTGCCAGGGCGCTGCTCCAGGTAGGAGTCCTCTGGCCTGGCAGGCCATGCGCTGGACCTGGGTCGATCGAATCCGCTCACGCCGGTCAACACCAAGTACCATTTTGAGGTAGGTGCACCCATTGTCTACTTTAGTGGGGATTGGGATATGGCCACATGTGAGCCCGCAATCAATCAGAAGCTTCTGCAAAAGGATGAGAAACCAACCCCAAATCTGGGCAAGAGCTAAGTTCGGAGTGTCAAAGCCTGAGGTCCCTCCAAGAGGATGCTGCTCATACACTGGGAACCTTCCAGAATATGATGCCGCTTTGAAGCCAGTGTCTTCTTCTGAAGTCAGCAATGGTCCCAGAATAAAAGGTTGCACCTCAACGCTTGCCTGCAGAACTGACTGTTTGGGTTGAAGACGGAGTCACGCCCTGGTTACATGCAGGTCAGCCTGCTTGCATGTGGTAGGTTGCACACAGGCCAAAGCTCCCGTCTGCCTGCGCCTGTATGTCCGATCCAAGATCAGGGCGCATTCTTGTAGGCGCGCAATCGCACTGCCTGAACACGAAATTACAGACGCAGCAACGCCCACACTGCAGGGAAGGATTGAGAGTTCACGTGCGTTCACAACCAGTCAAATTAGCTCATCAATGTTGGGCCTGCATACAATCATGCCAGGCATGTCTACCACTTCAGCTTGCCAAACACGCACCGAAGCCATCATCGCCTTCAAATCATCCCCGTGATAGTCCCCCTGCGCAATCAATCGGCCCACACTTCATTTGCATCTTGATTCTCAAGCACTCAACAGCCTGATCGACGGCCACCACCTGCGACTGGCACAGCATCGTTCTGCATCTCTTTCAGTGCGAAGGTGGAAGCTGCAAGGCAAGGAGCATGTGGCTCGCCCTGCCTGTCTTCTCTCATACGTGGACAAGGGTGAAGGCATGTTCTGGACTCCTTGGTGAAAAGGATTAAACAAGAACACATCACATTGCGCCTTCACGAGAGATGAGAACTGCTCCAAGGCTCAGGCTAGGCACTTCCAAATCACATTCTCCGTTTCAGCCACAGGCTGCGGAATGGCCATACGCCGTTTCTACGTGTGTTCCTGTCGTGTTTTTTGTTGTTTCTCCGGGCACGAGCACCGAAGTCATGGAACCGTCGCTTTGCGGTCTCAAACATGTTGAAGCCCTCCGTTCGTGCAAAAGACTTCCAACTCCCAACCCCTTTCGCGCCCGCTCCCTGATTCAGCCTAGCTCAAGCTTCAGCACTGCTTTTGTCAGAGCAGCTCTGGCCGGATTATCGACAGCGCTCGTCCAAAGCAATTGCGAAGACGAGACATGGTTCTCACCGCTTGAGTTCATTCATCTTCACCTCTGGCTCAGTTTGACCCTCTTTGAGCTCATACGTGTAGAGGACCACCTGAGCTGTGACGCCCTGGAATGCTTTAACATCCAGCGATACGGTATCAAGTGCAAGAGTGCCAAGCCTGCCTTCTCACAGCTGCGCTTGCATTCGTGACAGCGTGCCGCATCCCAAAATCAGGAGAAAATTGCTATCTGAGCTGCTGATTTCTCCTGCACTGCCATAAGCATAAATGATGGCCTCAGCCAAAAGCCAACACACGGCTTCGTGGTTGTATGTTGAGGGCATCGCGTGACGTCAAACTCTCCAACGGCGTTACCTCATTCAGGCTCTGCATGCTTGACTGCAGTCATCTATTTTTCATGAAAGCAGAAGTACTTAGCCGCGTGCAAGCACCAGTAACGGAGCCAGGATTAATGAGAAACTTGCCGCCAAGCTCGACGATGCTGCTTCTGGCAAGAGTTGCATGAATCCACAGCTTCTGTCCATGCAATCGAAGGCCTGTGAGTGTGCCCAGTCACCAGGATGTCCACCCCCAGGCGGCCCGCAAACTTCACCAAGGAGTTGGCATCACCTCAACCCGAACACGTCGACTTCCGACGACGTTTCGCCTGAGCCGCAGGCCCCAGGGCACAATCTGATGTCCATGGACCACGCCAACTTTGAAGTCCCCCACGTTGGTCACCTCAGGCGGGGGGGAAAAAGACAACGCTGCTTCGAAAAAGGCATCCCAAAAATGGCGATTCCGAAAGAGAAGGAACCAGCAGTGCCCCCTGGTCAGCATCCAGCAAAGCCAGAACTCACCTCTCGCTCTTAAGAGATCGGAAACCCGACATCTGACATCAACAATTTGGGGAACCCGAAACGATCGAAAAGACCAGCTGGGCGCCAGCTGAACCCAAGCCACACAAGCTCGCCAGGAAATGCCCCTCAAATCACAGCCAACATGTCGGCAAGCTAAGCTTTGGGCGCAAGACTCAGGAAAGCTAAAGTCATGATCCGCATCGCCGCAGACAATGTGACAATCCTTCAGAAAAGCAAACACTAATAATTCATCAAGCCACTTTTTGCTCGATGAACCAAGGTAGGCAGCATTCCAGCAGCAAAGCATTGTCATTCCATTGACTCGTGACTGCTTGAAGGTTTCAACGCAGGGTCCTCGCCGGCAATGGTTCGCAACTGCTCTGCCACGGATTGAGAACCAACCTGGCTGCCAAGACGCATGAGTTAAAACAGCACGAGTGACTTTCTTGTTTAAAAAAGAAAGGTGGCCCAAAACCCAAAGCCCAAAGCCCATGGTTCAGCCTGGAGAGCTGAGGGGAAGTGTGTGACTAAGCCCCGCGCATTCCCAGTGCAAAGCACCATCCCGATCCTCAGAGAGCCAGAGAGGGGGCGCGAGAGGCCTGGAGTGAAGCAAATCACATGTCTTGTCGGCCTCATTTGGAGCGGTACCAGGGTGAATCGTGGTTCATCAGGTCATCATAGTTCGAGAATACGTCATGCTACAAGACTTAAGCCTTCATCAGACCAGAGCAAAGATTGGAGTGCATGAAAAGTAAAGGATGGCAGTTTGTTGCATCTGCCACAGGTTCCTGCCCGGGTAGCATCTAGAGCGAAACTTAACTTCCAGTTGTAAGAACAAGCTGGACATCTGCCAAGTATCTTGTCTGTGTTCAACAACTCCTTGAAGCATGACGGTACATCTGCTTTCCTGCGAGGATGAGCACTCTCTCTCCCACACACACACACACACACACACACACACACACACACCCTCGTTCTGCCAGTCTTGACCACATGGGCCACAAACGATATTCCTTGTTGGAAAATGTTGGAGGGGCTCTCTGCTTTTGATGGAGATTGGGATTGACCCTCATGCGTCCTCCCCAAGCTGATAAGAGACTTCCAGTACTATAGTCAGTTGCCCACATCCCTCTGAAACAATCCATCTGACGCTCCTCTGGGGCGTGTGGTAATCGCCAATGAGAAGGACCTCAAACCAGCACAGGGCCGGCACAAAATTGTGTTTCTGACACGCGAACAAACAAGCTCTGCAACTAACGCCATTGAACAACTGGCAAGAGTGGGCAACTACAAAGACGGAACGGCGTCAATCCTGATGGTTGCTCACCAACCACAGGGATGACGAAATTAGAAAATAAAAGCGCTTGGCATAACAATAAATCGCAGCCATGCTGAAACAGCAAGTACGCTCACATGAGGTTCCGGCCAATCGTCCAAACTCTGTCATCTGGTCTAGCTGGTACGCACTTGTATCAAAAGATGTGGGAATCTGCAGAACCATATGATTGTCATGACTGTTTCATGTGCATGCGGCCTTGAGCTTGAGCACAGGACATGAACACTCCGATTCTGTACGTCTGCACCCGGCATGCATTGGGATCTATGAACCAAGAACAAAAAAAACACTTGGGCTCTCAGAAGCAACAGCCTCAACTCAATACAGAACATCTGCGCTCCGCGCCTCTTTGAAATTCCATCAAGCCTTCTGCGATCAGTGCACAGACACCGCATTGGTGTTGATATGTGCTGCTCCGAAAGGGTCTGACTTGGTGAAAACCGCCCGAAGCTGCATGGAGCTGCTGTCCGACCACACGGGGTTCTGCTCCACGTTGATGGTCCACATGCCGTTCTCGCCGCCCTGCAGGGCCACGCGCACGGCCTTCAGCTTCTCCCGGACCTTCGTGGACTTGGCGGCGTGGATCACCGCGGCCTCCAGGTCCCGCATCCCGGCGAAGTCCGCGGGGTAGCCCAGCCGCCGCAGGAGCGGCTTCTGCCGCTCCAACGCCCGCGGCCTGAGCTTCACCAGGAAGGAACGCTGGTCGAAGCCGGCCTGGCGCGCCACTTCTCTCGATACCTTCAAGAACTGCGGATCCTCATAGGCTTCCTGCAGATCTGAGAGGATGTCAAGAGCTTGGATCTCTGTGAGTAAATGCCTTTGCTGCGCCTTGCTCCTTTGCTTCAGTGGATCCTTCCCAAGTATTTCAGTCATGGCTCTCCACAAGCTACTTGCCAGTTTGCGCCGGAGGTAGTCTCCTTTCCTGGCATTGATCTTGAGGAGCAGCTCGGAAATGGCATCTCCAACTGTCGGACAGTCATAAATCAGAGACAAGGACAGGGTCCCGGGAAGTTCAGCCTGCAGGTGCCTCACCAGATCCACAGCCAGGATTGAATCGAAGCCGACTTCCACGAACACAAGCTCCTCGAAGACTGGGAGGAGCAGCGGGTCGAGCTCTTTCAAGTCTTTGACCTGCTGTCATTGGATTAAAGTCAACCACTGGGTGGGGGGGGGGAACAAACCACTGAAAAGATGAGGGAAAGTCAAACCACTCAAAAGCTGTTTCCTTTTCACCTCTCACTTGGACGACTGCCACAAAAACCGAACTCCGTGCCAGGCCTTGGATCGGCTTTTGGCCCGCGGCTTCCGCGCCGCAACCACCGGCGGAGGGGACAGCCCCGCTTTCGCCAGCGCCTGGCGCGCCTCGGCGTCCCGCTTCAGGGCCTCCAGTGCACAGGACTTCCGGTACCACGCCTCGCCGCGGCGGAACGCGGAAGGGAACTGGGTGTGGTTGTCACAAATAGTTGGTAACCCCAAAATGGCGCAAGCCCCGGTAAATGGAAACAAGGACCAAAACCCGCGGTTTTTCTGGTGGGTCAATTTTGACCCATACCCAACTGACCTCTATGAGGTGAACATGAGTCAACAGCCCAATCGTACCCCCAGTGAACATCTCAATCCAACCACTTAAATTGGTTCCAAAATGGGTGCACCTACCCCAAAATGGGATCCCATTGGTTTTGACCCACAGCCGTGCGAACATGTCGACACCTTTGGACATGTAGCAAACCACCAGGGGACTGCTGTCAAATGCATGTAGATAACCGCTGCAGATCTGACGCAAAAAGATGATACAAGCAAGGTTCCATTTTCTGTTTGGAGGGTGCTTCCATTTCCCCAAACGGGGAACCCAAATCAAGTCCAAGTCCTGAGTCGCAATCAAAACCTGGTATGAAAATGGTCTACCCAGAAAAACAGGCTTCAAGAACGGGTGCGGATTTGTTTTGGGATTTTTGTATGTTGTATTGTACAGCATTTTCTCGCAAAATACGCATTTTACACTAGCCCGTCAGCATGTCCGACCAACATCCCTAGCATCACCAACATATCGTGGGTAACAAAATCGAAAAAGTAGCTGGCGGGTTGACGGGGTCAAAAAGATGATGATTCAAATAGGAGTCCCTGTAAAAAACACTAAAAAGTAGCGGCGGGGTTTGGGGGGGCGGAACCCCCCCCCCACGATGTTCGAAGAAGTGATGATTCGAATAGGGGTGCAATTCAATCTCTGCAAAAAGTCTAAAAAGTAGGGGGGTTGGGGGGGGGGGGGCAGACCCCCCCATGATGTTCGAAGAATTGATGATGCAACTAGGGGTGCAATTAAATCTCTGTGTATAAAATCTAAAACGTAGCGGGGGGGTTGGGGGGGGGGGGGCGGATGATTCAAGTAGGGGTGCAATGATTCAAGAAAGGGTGCGATAGAATTTAAAAGGCAGCGGGAGGGTTGGCGGGGGTGGCTTCCCCTATGATGTTCGAAGAAGTGCATACATACAGACATACATGGATTACACAGATTACCTAAAATGTCGTATTTTGCAGCATTTTCTCGCGAAATTGGACGCTCGAAAAAGTGATGATTCAAATAGGGGTGCAATTCAATCTCTGCAAGAAATCTGAAAATTAGGGGGGGCGGCACCCCCCCCCCAAATGATGTTTGAAGAAGTGTTGATTCAAATAGGGGTGCAATTACTCTGCAAACAATCTAAACAGTAGCGGGTGGGTTGGGGGGGGGCTTCCCCCCCATGATGTTTGAAGAAGTGATAATTCAAATAGGGAGGAACTGGTGATGCTGGTGATGCGGGAAGCCAAATCCAAAAACCAATGAAAGGGTGCAAAAGCCAAAAAGCCCAGAGAGGAAAAGAAGAGGATGCGAAAGGCCAAAGCCGCCAAAGCCGCAAAAACGCCACCTGCCGAAGAGGAACTGGGAATGCAGAGGATGCGAAAAGCCAAAGCATAAACCAACAAAAAGCCGAAAAGCCCAAAAGCCAAGAAGCAAAAAAGCCACGAAGCCAAGAAGCCAAAAAGCCAAGAAGCCAAGAAGCCAAAAGCGGAAAAATCAAATAAATACCCCTCCTTCAAGAATTCCCAGGCGGCTGCAGTCGGGTTTTCATTGTGGCTCACCTTCTGCAAACAACAAAAAAGCTGGACTTCCCCCCCCCCCACCCCGAACCCCAACCCCCAACCCCACCCCCCCTCTGCCCGAAGCCCCGCAGCTCGCGCCTTGTCATCCTTCTGGTTGATGCCCAGGGCCGCGTTGGCGGCGCCCAGCGCCACCCGGGCGAGGCCCAGCCGCAGCGCCGCCGCGGACTTGTTCTTCAGCAGCTCCGAGCGCAGCTTCGCCACCGGGCCGCCGCCCGGGGCGCCGGCCAGGAGCTTCTGGCCCTGGTAGAAGTGCCAAAACGCCTGAAACGGGGTCAAATCACCCGCCTGAACTCGGGCAGGTGAAAGAAAGAACATCTGGGAATCTGGACTTGTTGAAACTCCCCAGGTTCATGGAAACTGGTGTGGAAGAGGTCATAAGTCTTCTGACTGGAACTGACTTGAGTATCAGTGTTCCCAAAACGGGGCGGCACCGTGCCTTGTCAAAATGCTCTTCATTGAAGGCGATGACTCCCTCGTGCCTCTCCTCCTTGCCCGTGTGAATAACGTCCGCTGCAACCTCATCGTTCCACTGCATCGAGCCAGCTTCTGGCAGGGGGTGGAGCATCTTCCAGGTCCATTCCTCTGTGGTGGCTGCCTGATCAAGGTCACCACTGTCACTGAGCACCCTCAGCGACTCAACATCTGCCAGCAAGTCCGGATCTTGAAACGTCGCGGCCAACGGAGTGCCCTTCTCCTCAGCCTCCAGCCCAGCATCATAGATGTGCCACTGCACGAAGCAGAACTTCCACATGGGCGCCAGCTTCGCCTTGAGATCCGCCGGCGCTTCTTCCGCAAAGTCCAGGGCCAAGCGCTGCTTGTCCGGCGGAAGCTCATGAGCCTCCTGGTTCAGGATCATGGGATCGCTGTCCCACCGGTTCTTGGCCCCCGTCTTGTCCATGCACACCTTCAGCGCCCGGTCCCATCGCTGGAATCTCATCTCGCGCTACGTGGCTAACTTGCGCAAGCGCGCACAACCGGAGACTCCCGATCAAGCAAAGGCCACCGACCTTCTGGCAAGTTTATTACTCTGGCAGTGACTCAGTGCAAGATTTATCCTGTGACCTTGTGGGGGGAGACAATGAACCTGTGCGCCCATATTTGTTCGGCAGCTTGAGGCGTCAAAGCAGCAAGCACGTGCACACAATGTGCCTATGAACCTTTGCAAGGCTAGCATGCTTGTTTCACTTCTATGTGCTGCGTGCTGTCGCACACATCTGAAATGAACGACTTTGGCGCTAACATACTGCCTCCTGGCTTGCTCATTGCATGTCCTTTTCCGCATGCAGCGAATCGAATTCTTCGAAGGCTGGGCTCCTCCGATGACTGCAGTGCCGTAGAACAAAGTGTGGTGCATGCCTATTGTTGCCTCTGAAGCAGATTCCGCTGCACGTCTCGGCTACCGTCGCCCTACGGCAGTGAAACGCTCATGTGCATGGCCATTTCAGCATATCTTCTGGGTGAAGCACGCGCCATGAGCCCTGCAGGAGCTTCAGTGAAGATTCTCCAATTCCACCTTGCGCTCTCCTGCAGTGCACTCATGACTACAATGCCGACAGCCATGGGGCCAAAGCAATTACTAGTTTTGCACATGTGCAGCTACACAGCAAAATGCCATGCCCAAGTCACCGTACTTCTGGTAGAAGCGCTCTGCCAGGAAATGGAACCTGCGCAGGTTTCTTCGCAGGCAAGGCTTTCTGCCTATTTTTTGCTGCACGCCTTGCTCTTACTTGCCCCAGTTACCAAGCAGCTCGCGTGACATGTCAAATCTGCATAGACGGCCGAGAGCGCGCACCATCAGTTTCAACCACAGACCCCACGCGAGCTAGGCTTCCTGCGGTGCATCCACTATTCCTTTCGCAGAGCAGGTTTCAAAGAACCTGAGCATCTTTGCACAACGACGGAAACCTGAAAACGCTGGCTGGAGCCCTGTCACTTGCATTCAGCCCCGGGGTCGGCACTCGAGGCCCCTTTCGCTGCTGAACTGATGGCCCTTGCGTCCGGGCATCCGTGAGCTCGACATGTGTAGAGCATCCAGGATCAAATATCCAGGTCTCATTTCTGACTGTCCCATTCAGGCCTGCTCCACTGAAATGCAGCCAGGTCGGTCCATCAGATCAGTCTTGGTTGCTATGACCACCTGGAAGCACGCCAGCAACACGTTCATCCCGGTCAGGCCTTGAGACCCTCACCCCAGAGATGGCGGATTCGCCCCGCGCATGCTTCAGTTGAGCATACCTCGGCACTCTGGCCACTCGGGGCATCCGTACATCCGATCGAAGCACGCTGGGCAAGCTGGGTGTCTTGCCACTCTTCCAGGTGGCTCAAGCTCTCGGGATTTGCCACATCGTAGACCTGGGCACAAAGCACAAAACATGCCTCGGCACAGAAAAGCCACCGCCATGTTGCTGGTGCCACCCTAAGTCACCTGGTCTCAGGGTGGAGCAAGCATCATGGCGTTGGCCGTCTCCCATTGTGGACGGAGCACGTCCTGACGCTTGCACGGGCGGAATGCACTGAGTAATTATGATTTGCTCGATCCAAATCGCTCCTGGCAGACGGAGAAGCCGCCACAGTCTATGATGTACCTGCAAAATTAAGCAAAAGGCAAACTCGGGCGTAAGCTGACCAGCGCATCCACACAGCAAATACAACGATCAGCTAGCTCACCGTGGCAAACGGAAAACCGCTAGCAAATGCTATAACGACTGGTCCCAGGCGGCTCACAACTCCACAACCACGTTGGTCTCAGGAATGTTAACCTGAGGCACTCACTTGTGCCATGGCAGAGGCTTCCTGTATGAGTATGAGGGGGGATGAATCCGCTCAGCGGTCCAAAAAACTTTCTGAGTTGACAACTTTGGATCCCATGTGAGCAAATCTCTTGACGCCGTCTTGGCACACTTGCGGGTGAGCCCCCCACCAGTCCCCTAAGTGTTGCTCAGAGTGTCTAATGATTGCCAAGAGGCTCGTTTCACCAAGGTGTCGATTCCTAACGTCATGGCGTAGTTCTTCGGGAAGTTGGTCGCACCGCCCTGCGCATAGGACCATGGTCGAAGAACATGTAATCTCACTTGATTATGCACGAAACGACATACGCATACGACATGCTCACGCACTCCACACGCACACACAAGCCAGACAAGCGCAGTGAGTTGCAAATAGAAGCGAGGGCCAGCCTGGAACACCTTTGCCAACGACGTCTTGCCTGAACAAATGTGTGAAACAAACGACGGCTTTGTAGATCTGTCTGTGGTCTTTCAACAATTCAATTGCATGCAACCAGCCACGGCAAAGAAACGCCCGCAGGGAGGTGCCAAACTGCAGCCAGGATTCCAGTTGCGGAGTCGCCCAGCAACACCACTTTACACCTCCGGGACTTGAACAGCCAAATGGTCCAAACCGCACACGCCCTGTGGGCGCCTCAAGATCAAGGGCGCAGGCTGCACCTGTTGCAACTTGGTACATGCCGCCGCTTGGGCGCTTGGTGAGTCTCAGCTCAGGGCCAGGGAGCCAAAGGGGTTGCCGCCAAACGCCTCCGATTTGACCCCAGCCGATTTGAGTTCGCGCGGGCACCCAGCAGAGACTAAAAGAAAAGAAACGAAGAGGCCTTCCTCGTGGCTTCTTTGCTTGGAACATGCGAGTTGGAGCTTCAAAGCGAGTCGCGCGCGACTCGTCGCACTTCCCATCGGCCTCTCCATCTTCAGGAGGCGGCGGAGGCGGGGGCGGAGGCAAACCGTCACTCATTGCGCTTGGCCCGTCCCTAAAGCAGCGGAGAAACACGTGCACTGGAGCAATGACCGCGGCCTCTCAAACCCCACGAGGCAAGACCCGCAGTGATGCGCCCTCTGAAGAAAAGGCGGCATGAGCCCATAATCAATGTCCCAACTAATGAAATCCTCGTGTGCTCTTCAAGCAGCAGCACACTGGGCGAACAACAATCCACATCTTTAGCCCAGGCTGATGAATGACACTTGCTTGCAAATTCTGTCTTCCGCCCTAGCGCACTAGTGACGGGAGGCTGAACAAAGGAAAATCATGGGTGCGGTTGATGGAGAAATTGAAAGAACACGATCCGAACTCGGACTTTTTCAGCTGCCGGTTTCAACACAGGCTGCCGCTCATTCCAGTTGGTCTCTCTTTCACTCCCTTCTGCTCTGATTCGTCCCACTCACCCTACTCCATCCTCAAAATCCTCCACGTGTCGCTGCTCGCCTTCCCGAGTGGCCTCTCCAGCGCTTGGCCCATCTTCTGCATCTCTGTCCGCATCCAGGCCATCGTGGCCATCGTGGCCATCTTGGCCACGCTGGCTGACTGGGCTGTCTGGCTCACCTGCAGTCTGGCGATGACTCTCCGGCGGGTAGCTGTCGCCGGCTTGGCCCTGGCAAGAGCCGCTGTCCTGGTCTTGGCCACTCACGTGCTGGCCATCGGAAGCAAGAGGGACATCTGGAACGCTTTGGTCATCAGGCTCATTCTCTTGGCCACCTTGGCCACCTTGGCCATCTTGGCCATCTTGGCCATCTTGGCCATCTTGGCCAAATGGGCCATGGCCCTCTTCAAATGGGCCACCTTGGCCATCTTGGTCAAGATCTTGGCCTGGGCTTGCCGCAGTTTCGTGCTCATCTTCTGCTGTCTCCTCTGCAAGCTCACCGCGTGCTGCACGGGCCAGCATTGCCAGTGGCAAGGATGTCTCCTCAGTGCCCGCCAGCACCCATTCATTCCATCACTGCCTAAAAACCTTTTGATTCGTTGGGTGCATTTGCCATCTCTGCCTGTGGAAAATCAGAATTGTCAACGTGCCTAGAAGGCAACAAGGACTGGGTTGCCCAGCAGCAAAGGCACCTGACATTGCAGAACAAACTCCCGCCACATGCCCTGACAACCCTCCTGCGGATGAAGACTCCAATGCACTCCCGCCTGCTTCGCGCACCAATCGGATGGGCGACAGCGGCAAGCCCAAGCGCCCGCCAAGCCTCTGGCAAAGCAAAGCCACATCCGAGTTTCGGACTTTTAGATCGCAAGTCGGTCACTGTCAAATACTCAAATCGGAACACCAACTCTAGCCACCCCCTGGATATACAAAGCCCTCAGGCCTACTCGTTGCATCATGAAGAAGCTGAGGATCCCGGTACAGCTCTTCGGCAGCAAACTCCAAGGCCCATCCTGGGCTGCTCGCAAAGCGAGCAGCTTTCAAGTAGCCTGCCTCTTGCGTTGCTATTCTCCTCGTCTCACCAACTTCCGATTCTTAAGACTGGCTGGCTCGGGCTTGACAACATGCAGCAATGCTGGACCAAGGCTCCGTTAGACTTGCCAACAGCCATCGCCATGAGTTCGCGGTCTGCCCGTAATTCACGACTCGCGTGGCGAAGCGCGCGCCAATCTGGCACCAGATCGGAGGAAAGCTAAACGTCATGGAGCTGGTAAAATGTGTGTCTTGCGGTGGTTGGTTAAGGCAAAATAAAAGCCCAACAGTTCCGTCAATTTGAGAAGCAATTCTCGCCCTAGAGGCTTGGCCTGCCTTGCTGGACAGCTTCCTCCACAATCTCGCGGTCGTCCCTGGCCAAACAGGTTTCTCCAGCTGATCCCTGTGGCGGGTCCTAGACCTGGTGAAATCACGAAGCTGCACCTCGCAGTAGCTATTCCCCATGCTCAGAATCTCTGTCCACTGGCAACTGCGATGGTACGCATCAAACATCAATTGGCACAGCCAACAGTTGAAGATTCCCCGCACGGCTGACGGTCTCCCGAACTCCGGGCCTAAGGGTCGCCGCAGCAAACTCCAACGCCTGCCAGTTCTGCTTGACAGCACCTTCCAGGAATTCATGATGGATACGTCAGGTGATCTCTTTGGCTAAGCTATTCTGCAAGTGCTGCAAAGCCACTCAATACTGCTTCACGGTCGCTTTGGACTTCAGCAGGCGAGAACTCGAGCTCCTGAAGAAAACCTTCACCTTCTGCCTGGCAAATGAGCCCGGCATTCAAGCCAACTCGGTGAGCCGTCGATTCATGTCCCAATCGGTCCGTCCAATCCGTGAGGACGACATGACGTTTGTGAAGAACGTATCTGCGCCATAGAAATTGAGAAATCCTTGGTCTTGCGGAAAGCTCATGTGGCACCCAGAAGTGCTTGCTTCGACACATCCCAAGAATATGGCAAGCGTCAAAGTCAAAGCCGCAGCTAGGATGCTCCGCAGTTCTGCACAGCAAAACTCGGTAACTGTCCAAGCTGCCGCTGCCACCGCCTCAGGTTCAACAACAGACGGTACCCAAACTACGAGACTTCTGGCGCAACGGATGATGGCCTTTGTGAATGTTCAGATTGACAAGACGGTCGCTCGCACACCTCTTGTCCAGGGGCATTTGGAGTCCATCCAGAATGCCGCTGGTCTGCTCCCATGCCATTGGCATTCAACAGCACAAATTTTCCATTCAGTAGGGGGTCCTCAATTCATGACCTCGCTCGAAGCAGGGCTTCTTCCTTCTGTCTACGGCATGGGGACAAAACTGCTAATAGCTGACGATAGAGTGTCTTGTCAACAAGATGGGGTGTGAACCATTGCGCATCTCCTCCTTCCTCCGAGCCGCTCCCATGAGCGCCGTGATGCATTTTGTTCACAACGGTCGGTCAACGCGAGTGGGACAAAGCATCAAACACATGCTACGCCCTGGAAGACCGTTTCTGAGAGATGCAAGCCAGAAGAAGCGCCCACCATTTTTGTGCGTCTCGCATCTCACAAGCCAAGCGCAAAGGATCTTGATTCGGACTACTCAAGAGTCCCTGGCTTTGATCTGTTATCTCTTCAGTTTGGGAGGGGCCTATTTCTGCGCATGGTCAAAGCCAGAACGTGAGCATCAGAACTCTTCATCATCGTCCTTGGGCTTCTCAGTGGACGGCGGAGGCGTCTCAGCTGCTACGCACAAAAAACTCCGCTCGCATACCAAAGAGGCGCGAACCTTGGCCGAAGGCCTCTTGGTCGCAATACCAGAAGCTACAGGCGCTTCCTTCGGAAAGAAAAAAAATGCCCTAATACAAAACTCAGGTCCGCCCTGTGCAAGAAACCGTTGTGCACAGAAAGCTGTCCAAGCAAAATGTTCATCAGCCTCGCCTTGGCATTCGCTTCGGATGCTCCATTTCCTTCCTTTTCATTGCTCTTTTCAGCGCCTCCCTTGTCAGCTTCCGCCTCCTCGCAGGTTGCTTGAGCAGCCTCCATCAAAACTCCGCCCCTCGGCGCCCACCGTCCTCCTCCTTGGCCTTCAGAAAGAGGGGCAGGATGTATGAGAACCAGGCAGGGCCTGCAATGGCCTCAGAGGCAACTGACATATGGCTGTGGTGGTCAAAAACAGTTGGTAACCCCCAAATGGAACCCTGGTAAATGGAAAGAAGGACTAAAACCTGCGGTCCCCTGGTAGTTTTAGTTTGACCCATACCCATATCCCCCCAGGAAAAACACGCCATGGATTCATCTCGTGACATTCCTCGGAAACTCGGCCAAGGACTGCCAGTGACCACATCCAAATCACATCGATGATGCGCTCCATCTGCTTGTACTGCAGCCCAGACAGCCTGAGACTCTGAGAGTGGCTGCAGGCTGAGCTAAGTCTCCAAAGCACTAAGGTGGCAAAGCAAAGTGCATTTGCAGGTGACGCCAGCATGTCCAAAGCCAAAGTTCAGCCATACATGGAGGCTGTACCGAGCATCCTCTACCCGACTCAATCTTTGAGCAAGCCGCGTGATGGCCACGTAGAAAACACGCTGCCAAGTCAGCCCGATGAACAGCTCGCAGAAAATAGCGGTGGATCGGATGGCAGGGCTACCTCACAAGGCGGCCAGCTTTGCATCTTGCAGGGCACTTGCACGATGGTCTGCGCCTGTTTTGTCAGCAATGAAGTCGATGATGCGCATGATTGCGAACATGAATACCTCAAAGTGAAGGAGCGCAAGAGTCCATCTCATGTTGCACGGCATGCAAGGATCTTAAACTGGGCCCTGGACGGAAGCGCAAATGGCCAACAGGATGGCTGCGTTGATGTCCGCTGCCTGCTCTGCTTCCATGCTGCAAAAACATGGTCAGGGCCGCAAAGCGGACGCGGCCTGCCCGCCAAAGCTGCTGGTGCTGGTGTAATACAGGAACTCCCACTCGAGACTGTAGAGGAACATCCAGGCGCAGAACATTGCCCTGGCTTACATGCTCGCAAGGCTGAATATTCAGACTATGCGCCAACTTGCTGCCGGCAAAATAGGACGCAGGCATGATGGATCTGGTCATGTTGGCAAAACGTCGAGAACTCCAGCTCCTGCCAGGGTTGTCACGTGTGAAGCATGACGTGACAAGCTTTCACCTTGCATTCACTCAGATCCTAGCACGTGCAAAAGCTGCTCGTTGCAGCACTACAGTTGGTTTCATGACATGCCAAAAAGTGATGCTTTTTCACTGTTGCTCTAAAGTTTCTTCGCTGCTCTCTTGCTGATCTTGTCGACAGCTTGGTTTCCCATTGAAAGGGCAAACAGGTCAAAAAGTCCAGCGCGAAACCGTGTCCTTTCCGGTACGTCAAGTCGGAACACGAGGCCAATGGTGATCTCAGTCACCATGCTGGCTCTACAAACCAGCGAGCCGTTCGCTCGCCAAACGCAAAAGCACACTGATCTATTTTAGTGGACTCGCATGGCCTTTCAGAGTTGCTTCAGAGTCATTCCGCTGAAGTACGAGGGACTTCAAACTCAAGAGCCCTCCAACATACCTTTTGAGCATACCCCGGAGCCCACATGAAAGGAATGTTTAAGGAAGGTTGGGGTACGCTCAAAAGGTATGATGGAGGTTTCTTGGAAAACCAAAAGCACAGACACATCTTGGCCCCCAGCAAAGCCGACCAGGACGGAGAGAGCTGTCCACAGCCATAGCCACCCAACGCTTGATCCGGTCTGACCTAGGCAGAGTGCAGGTGGTTTCACCAGGTTTTTTCTTGCGGCTTGGCGCCACGCTTGTTTGCCTGCCATATGGGCCCGTTGGAAACCTGAGGCTTTTGGATGCAAGCTAAAGCGAGGAAAACCAGGCGTTGAGGCAGTGGCCCGGAGATTGCGAATCTCACCCACATGGACAAGGTCAAGCCCAGTACGTACCCTGGCAAAATCAAGTTGTGCATCTCTGTGTGTGCATGTGCATGCGGATGTGGGTGTGGGTGGGTGTGGATGTGTGCGTTGGCAACACTATACCATGCACAAAAGGCATTTTGTGTCTGCGTTGGCAACAGTTCACCAGGCTTTCGTATGCCTTGGCAAAGATGACGCTAATCAAACTTGAGCAACTTTGAAAGGCTTCAAGCGACTGGGAACCAGCTGCCTGCATATGTTGTCTCTGCAGCTTGCCACGAGTCTGCCCACTTCTGCTTCATCTCCTGCACAATCGCATTTCGGCTGAGAAAACTGTCTGCTCACACCACATGTTTTGCACGTGCATCTCTCCCTGGGGGAGACCCCATCGGTGGCTTCTTCCGAAGCTGCGAGGACCTGCGACGTCACAGGCTGCTGGCGATGGAAAGCTGCGGCCGGCGCGCCACGAAGTGTCTCGCCCAGCACGCCCCGAAGCATTGCAGCCAGATGATGAAGCAGCACAGGACAAACTGGCACGGCCAGGCACCCACATGACTGTGGGTCAAAACCAAGAGGATCCCATTTTGGGGTAGGTGCACCACCCATTTTAGTCGATTTTAGTGCAGATTGGGATGTTCACTGCGGGTGCCAGATTTTGACCCATGGCACCATTGCCATTGCACAGAAACCCAACAAAACACGTTAAGTCTGCCAGATGGACGCCAGCGAATTGGATTCCGACTGAGGCTGAGAACACACTGGTCCTGATCATAGGTGTCGTGCAAGGTGTTTCAACTGTCACACAACTGCTTAGGCAAGTGGCATCATCAGCTCTCCAAATGCATCTACCGCACAGAATGCGGTAAACCATGAGATGATTGAGCACCATGCCTCACACCAAACGGGCCCCTTCGGCAAAAATATTCACAGGCTTTGCACGTTCGCTGTGAGGCCTCCCGCGATGCATCGTCAATTCCGCGGCGAAGGAGTATAACAGGTCCCTGAGGTAAACGTGATGCGCTGCCAAAAAGGATCCAACATGGTTCTGCAGCACGTGTATTTGAAAAATAGCGGGCAGTACGCTTCAAAATACTCTCCGGAAAACCAGTCTTAGCCAGACTCGGCCCATATACTGTGGCTCTCTTCCTTCTCAGGTTCTCTTTGGGGTCTTAAAGTTCGGATTGCAACGTGAAAGTCTGTGGGTTTCACTTTTTCCCATTCAGACCCTCGCGCAGCGCAGTTTCCAGCCAGCCTAGCCCAACTGCTGCCCGCGCCACAAAGGTTTCAAGAGCATGCGCGCCGAGTCTGGCGAGCCCTGAACATGGATACATATACCCCAGCTCCTACCCATCTCAGTGCCGAAATTGTAGGATGTTGAAACGAAAAGCAAGTATCCAAATATTCGCGAGGAAAACGTGCCGCTTGAGCACGCTGGAAGCACGTGGCCATGACATGTTGCTCAACATGCTGCACTTGCTATCAATCCCGTCAAACAGCGGAAATTGCCCAACAAGAAACATCATCTTATGCTCAGAAGGTCTTTTGTTCAAGCTGTGGATACAAGCGCACGTCTTGCTTGCTGAAGGAGCCAGTGTGGCGTTCAAAGAACCTGCTGCATCGTTGCTTTGCCACATAGCTTGGGATTCGCAACGTCGTCTCTAAACTGGCAGGAGGTGGCAAGAGGCGGGAATAACTGAGGTGGAAGCGGTGGGATGCTCGAAGCCACATTTTGTTGGGAATCCTTCCTGCCTTTCTGTGGCAAATGCTCTTCCCAGAGGTACATCGTGCCAAACAAGGCACTAGACTCGCGCTTCAGAGATGCACAAACACCGCCCGGTCTGAACTGGCACCAGGCATCACTAATGGAAAACGCTCGCAGCCGAGCCGATGCATATCGGAAAGGCAAAATCCTGCCATCTCAATGTCCCGGCAATGCAAAGTAAGTGAGGCAAAATGTCGAAGCAAGCATCTATTGCCAGAAACATCAACTACACAAAGATCGCCGCCCCAAACCCTAAGGTCTTAGCTACAGCAAGTAAGTTTGCCACATGAAAACAGGTGCAAAGACGAAGTCCGTGAGGAAACTAGAAAAAGGTGTGAAGGACGTCTGACTGCACAGAGTATCATAAAGGAAACCCCTGCCAGCATCTCAATGACCCGGCAATGCGAAGCAAATTGTAAGTCGGGAAATTGGGATGATTGAAAATGATGAAGAAAGTAGGCCCAAAAATCACATCACAAGCATCCCAGCAAATAGAAATACACAGCGCAAAATACTCAAAGATAGCCCAAACCCTAAGGTGTTGGCTGCTAAAAAGCCTGTCTTCCTGGGAAAATTGCAGCAAGAAGTG